AACTCCAATCAGGCTCCTATGTCCTCTGCCTTCATGATTGAATGTCCACTTCGTTTGAACAACGAACACAACAATCGAGGACGGCTTTGCAATGAAAATACAGCTAAACGGGAGCTGAAAAAAAGAAGAAAAAACGTGCTCAGGATGAGACTCGAGTACACGCACACTCTCCCAGCCGGTGAAACGCAAATTTTTGTGAAAAATTCGTGTCGCCGACTGACCAGTAATTTCGCCTGACGGATAACATTGACTTGGTTGCCTTCCGACTTGACCTAGCTGCTGCTGAACTTCATGTGTACCCACCAGACTCTGATGTGCAAGCCATGTGGGACCACTGGCATCAACGATTCCTTTCTGTCCTCGACAGGCATGCGCCATTGCAGCAATGCAAGATTAAGACAGGCAAGCTCCATCCTCCATGGTCTGACAGAGAGCTATACAAGATAAACCAGCTGAAGCGTCGCCTGCATCGAAAGTGGCTTGCTGACAAAGCCAACTCTGAAGCTCACGCAGCCTATAGACGTGCCCGCTCGGTTGCTGCGAATACAAACAGGTGCAAACGCAACCAGTACTTCCAAAGTCAGTGCCAAGATAATTGCCAGAACCCACGCAAGTTATGGTCAGTCCTAAATACTGTGACTGGACGCAAGAGACAATCAATCCAGCCGACATGCGACATCGAACATGTTGCGTCCACGTTTGGCAAGGTAGTCTCTGATGATGCTCGACCTTCAGTTCTCTCTATGCCTCAGGGACCACAGCCTCGGTCTGCTCTGACCTCATTCCAACATGTGCGTGCCTGCGATGCTGAACAGCTTTTGAAGCGCATCGACCCGCGCAAAGAAACCGGGAGCGACAACATCCCAGGCTTACTTCTAAAGTACTGTGCCGACCTGCTAGCACCATCATTTGCAGCACTTTTCAATGCGTCCCTGACCTCCGGCACTGTACCCGCTGGCTTTAAGCGTGCGTATGTGACCCCATTGCACAAGGCTGGCGATCCATCTGTCGCCAACAATTTCCGTCCTGTGTTCCTGCTCCCAATTCTCTCGAAGCTGCTAGAGAAGGTGGTGCAGAAGGCACTTGTCACCTTTCTGGATATGGCTGGTTCTCTGCCCAGCACACAGTTTGCATTCCGGTCAGGACATTCCACGGAGGATGCCCTTGTACTGATGGTAAACAGGATCCTCGCCTCAAGAGACCGCCGCATGTTCACGGGTGTGGTCCTCCTGGATATGTCGAAGGCGTTCGACAAGGTTCGCCACCAGCAACTAGTCGAAGATCTCTTCTGTGTGGGCGTCACTGTAACAGCGCTCCAGTGGCTCATGTCATACTTGTCTGATCGCTGCCAGATTGTCCAGCTGGGATCCCAGCTTAGCACAGTCGCAGCCTGCTCCTTTGGAGTACCACAGGCGTCGGTATTAGGTCCACTGCTGTTCAGCCTTTACACCCGGGACATACCATCTGTTGCCCAGCAAGCTGAGTCCATCCAGTTCGCAGATGACATCGCACTGACCTGCAGTCGCCCAACACAACAGGAACTGACCGCCACTCTCTTCAGAGCAGTGACATGCATTGCTGACTGGCTGAAGCAGCGAGGTTTGATCCTTAATGCATCAAAAAGTCAGGCATTGGTAGTGCCGGCTGGGAAGCTAGAAGCGCAACCTGAACTGGACGTATGGTGTCATGCGACTAAGCTGCCATCTGTCTCTTCTGCTCGCTACCTCGGAGTTCACATTGACAGCGCCATGTCTTGGAACGCCCAGATGGATAGGTGCGTTGCCCGCCTCACCAAGAAAGTCGGTGTGCTGTGGCGGATGCGCCGCTGCCTCAGCATGCAAAGCCGCATCCAGTACTTCAAGTCGGTGATCATGCCTGATTTCTCATATGGCTCCAATGCCTTCTCAGCATCGCTGGCGGGTAAGCACCTGGACCGTCTCCAAGTTCTGCAGAATCGTGCGGCTCGAGCTGTGTACGGATGCTCGCCGCGCACCTCTGCCAGAAACCTGCTAGTCCAACTCGGCGCCTACCGTGTCCGGGAGATTTTCATCCCGAAGCTCATCTTCCTGGTTTGGCGCTGCCGCTACTCCCGTGCTAGTCCCACACTGCAAGTGCTGTTGCTACCAACCAGTGGCGCTCCTACTCGGCTGCAATTATCTATGGGTCTAAGGCCACCGCCAACCCGCACTGAGCTGGGTAAGGGTTGTCTCGCGTTCCAAGGAGCTAGGCTCTGGAATGCGTTGCCCAGCGAGGTGCGGGCCATACCGCACCCGGCCCAATTTCGCACTGCTGCTGTTCCACACAGCATGAACCCTTGAGGTCAGACGGATCACTATCGCCATATTTTTATTATATGCCTGCCTGTTGGCCTGCCTGCCCGTCTCTCTCCCTGTTCTCTGACAACTTGCTTGTTAATTCGTGCGGTTGTTTTCAGACGTAAAGCCCTGCTGTAGAGGTCTCAGCCCTCATTTGTTAGTCTCTCTCTCTCTCTGTCTCTCTCTCGCTCTCGGATCTCTCTCTCTCTCTCTCTCTCTCTCTCTCTCTCTCTCTTCTCTCTGTTTTTGGTGGACAAAAATATCTCTGGCGTTGATTGCTTTCTTGCTTCGACTTCTGCCGCGCCTTTGTTCTCGTACTCCCCTTTATGTACAAGTGTTGTGCAGACCCTCCCTTAATATAGTCTGTCTCATTTTGTCCTGAGATGGTTTGATGCATAGTGATTATGACGCTCATCATTCACTCCCTTGTCACTGGACAGTTCTGTCCGTTTGGTTTTAGCGAATTCAAATAAAGAAAACAAACAATACACTTCGCATACATATCAGTTTGTGTGGACCCTGGCTAGCGCCAGACATTACTGCACTAGCGCCCTGCATGCATTCCCCCTATACACTTCGCATACATATCAGTTTGTGTGGACCCTGGCTAGCGCCAGACGTTACTGCACCATCGCCCTTCATGCCCTGCATGCATTCCCCCTATACACTTCGCATACATATCAGTTTGTGTGGACCCTGGCTAGCGTCAGACATTACTGCACTAGCGCCCTGCATGCATTCCCCCTATACACTTCGCATACATATCAGTTTGTGTGGACCCTGGCTAGCGCCAGACGTTACTGCACCATCGCCCTGCATGCCCTGCATGCATTCCCCCTATACATTTCGCATACATATCAGTTTGTGTGGACCCTGACTAGCGCCAGACATTACTGCACTAGCGCCCTGCATGCATTCCCCCGAGACACTTCGCATACATATAAGTGTTTACTGGACTATCGCCCTGCATGCATTCCAAGGATCTCTGTCTTAGCTCGCTTGACCAGTAACGTGTCTGCACTACGCAACTCTTGATCGCACTGCACTATCGGCCTGCATGCATGCAACCGATACACTTCGCATACATCCTCATTATCTTAATGGTACGGTCCTCTTGATGGTACAGTACTCTTGATGGTACGGGATAGGTACGGGATAGCGCCAGACTTAGGTCTGTCTGCCACAAACAAACACCAAATTAAAGCTGCGTGGACCCTGGCCAGCGCCAGACGTTACTGAAATAACGTCTTCTGCATAGCTACGGGAATAATAAATACTGGATAATGATAAATAATACGTAAACAATGCCAAAAATGTAGCACAAAATATTCGGGCAAGATACCACGTGAGTGAAAGATATCGATGTACACACAGGGACAAAATTCAAGTAGGAAACAAAACTAGTGACAACAACCTGGCACGACAAGCCAAGACTAACACAACATTCTACTGGTTAAACAAATAGATAATACTCTCCATTTGAATACAAACGTCAGGCTTATGAATGATTTGGAAACAGCCTCCAACACTTTCACCAGTAACTGATATCCATGACGTCCATTACACAAAACGAAGAACCATGAATCAGAATACTGTTGGCAACATTCAACACTCAATACCAAAAGATTATACACAGAAGATTTAAGAGGGCTGTTGTGAAACCACAAGTTCTCGAGAGTGAAAGGCCTTCTCGCTTGTGACATTGTGTTCGTTTCAATGCATTTGTATCCCGACTCTGTCGTACCGCTGATGATTACGACGTAGTATACGCTACATGCGCTATGTGCGGTTTGCTGTGTGCGCTGTAGCTGTATGTTGTATGTGTATGCTTTTCTCATATACACTGTCATTTTCACGCTATAACTACCTGGTGGTTTTAGTGTTTTTCATTGTTTCATTCATTTCATTCATTCATTGTTTAGTTAGTCGATGGAAGTGAAATATACTGTTGAGAATACTCAATCTGCGGACAGAACTGTTTCGTCCTTTGTGGACTCGTCAGCGCAGCACAGAGGAAATGAGGCCGAACCTGATAGCAATGGAAATAAAAATTTCCAATCAGGCCCGAACGTACCTTGCCAGAGTGCTCAAACTGACAAGTCAGTGAGCTCTGCATAACGCAAACAGCAAAGGCACTACCCCACGCAAGAGTGCTCTGGTTCCACTGGTTTTCTTCCCGTAGCACGAGAAACTCCCTTTCCCTTCCGAAACCCAAGTCCTCCTTTCTACTTCACTCTTCCCTTTTCACTGCGTAATCTGCGTGGCTGGCACTTCCCCAAGAAGCTAAGGACCTTTCTTCCCTCCGCCTTTTTAAGAGCCTTGTCGCACCTTGACTTTGATTTTGTGTTTCTCATTTTGTTGCAATCACTACTTATCCATGCCGGTTCCTTTTTTCTTCTCCTCCCCTTCTCCCTTCCTTGCCATGGTTGGCTAACACCCTCTCTCTTTGTATTGGCCGGTGTTCTCACTGTGCTATGAGATGCTGTAATAAATAAAGTCCCCAAAGGTCGAATTTCCTGGACAACAGATCAAATATTGCAAAGTAAAATTATAAGATCCCTCATGGACTTTAACACTTACAATTGTACCATAACAATAATTATCTTCAACCTTGGGTCTCCCTATGCAAGTTACCAGTGTTCTATGCCCCCCCCTCTTCTGCAGATTATACTTGGTGTGCCCCCCCTGCCCCACATGCGGGCTTTCGTGATTTCTCATACATTAGTGGCTCGACAACTAAAGGAACAATGGACTGCAACCCTGGATTCACTCTCGTTGGTACCCTGCCGATGATGTGCAGGGGTGGAAACAAGTGGAGTTCTGAATGCAAAGGTGAGTCCAGAATCAACATAATATAATATTTGCCCTTATTCCTGCATTTGTTCAAGTCACCCCTTGCTCCTTTTCAGACTGTGTGACCTTTTACTATGCACCCGGATTCCCATTTTGAGTGAAAGTGAGTTTGATCAAGAGCACATGAAAACTAGAGTGTGCATGTCGAATGGGTTGGTGTCACAGCGGATTTCCAAGATAACATCATTTTAATGATGTAGTGCATACAAGTAGGATTTATGCAGGTCTCTTTCTTCACAACTGCAGCTCAGTAGTACGCACTACGACATGTCCCGCCTCAGATCTCCGCCAAATAGGATGTGATAGGGCTTGAAAGTGATGACATCAAAAATGACCAGGGAGTAGAAATTTGACATCAGATTTCTATTTTGGATCCATTAAGGTGTGACTTTGCCTGCTTTCTCGGTCGAGTCACTTTTCTACAGCACCTCATTGCATATACACCAGCTGTTGGTTTGCCTTTCATTTCAGCTTCACACTGCTGATGGTCAAGGAATGAAAAAAATGCTGAATATACAGTTCAGCACCGAGTGCGACCATGTGAATGTTTGAATTAGTAGTAGTAGTATTCTTTTATTTTCCATTGGAAGCCTCAACAGTGATGAACACAACTCTTAAGAGGGCCGATAACATAGTAGAGGGGTGTGGGGTGAGAAAAAAATAATAAGAGACATTTAAACTAAACTAAACTGATACTTGGAACAATAAAGCAGCACTAAGCAGTAAGCAGTAAACACAGGTATACAATACAAGCGATGCAGATCAATGAGGCCATTTGCTGAAAAGAAGATGAAAATACTTCTGAAAAGACGCTGCGTCTTTAAGCATGGTCATAATGGGATAAGGCAAGAATTAAAGAGATGTTTTTAAAAACGAATTTAAACTAGGAACGCAGTAAACACAGTTATACAATACAGGCGGTGCAGATCAATGAGGGAGTTTGCTGAAAAGAAGATCAAAATACTTCTGAAAAGATGCTGCGTCCTTTAGCATAGTCTGGAGGTGAATAGCAAATGTAGTGCGGTGCTGGGTGCGCCACTCCACAGGCAAAGAATTAAAGAACAGTGCAGCACGATTTGAAAAGGAATTGACACCGTCAGTCGTCCGGAATTTAGATATTGCAATAGCAGCATTAAAAGAGCTTCTTGTTGTCCTAGGCCCGGTTGAAACTTGAGGGAAAAGGTCCGTCAGATTTGGGAGAGGGAAAACGACATGATTAACATGGATAAATTTAGCAATGCCACGAACAAGGTAATGTTCAAACGGATCAATAGACAATCTAGCTAACAGCGGCATGACGTCATCTTGTAGTCTCGAGCCACAAGCAGCGTGTACAGAACGACGATAAACGGACGAGAGTCGCTGTCGGTCCTTGGCGGATAGCTTCATTGCAAAGCAAGAGCAGCAGTATAATAAGTCAGGCAGGATAACAGAGAGGATAAACTGCCGTGTTGCCTTCAATCTTCGTTGCCGAAAACACCGTCGAAGAGCGCCAACTTTTGTGCAAGTCTTCCTAACGATAAAGTCTATGTGACCAGACCAAGAAACATCACTGTCCACAATGACTCCCAGGATTCTCGTGCTAGACACTTGAGTCAGAGGCTGTTGGTTAAAAACGATTGGAGTTGAGAGGGGTGAGAAGACTTAGAAATCATCAAAGTTACAGTCTTTGTTGTATTAATGCGCAGCCCAAGCTCGTCTAGATCCACAGAAATTGCAGATAACGAATCAGTAACGGTAGCGACGGCCTTAGCTTGTGTATGTCTGCTGGCATACAACGTCATGTCGTAAGCGAACATCGGGAGCTTGCAAGAAAAGGCCTCTGCTGTCAATGGGAGCTTCCGTACATAGATGTTAAATAGAACTGGACCCAGTATGGTGCCCTGTGGCACGCCACTAGTGATTGCCACCAACGGAGATGTTCCAGTGCGGGTAACCACCCGCTGTTGTCTGGCACAAAGGTATGATCGGAACCAGGCCAGGGCCGCTCCCGAAATACCGACAGCTGCGAGAGCAAGAAGAAGCTGCTGATGCTTCACCATATCGAACGCTTTTTTCAAATCAATACAGACAACTGCCGTATGCAGTCCAGCGTCGCGCGAGACAAGCCAGTCGTTCGTAACCTTGGTGAGAAGCTGTCCAGTAGAACGGTGCTTCCGAAAGCCAAACTGGTCCACATGAAATGGGCAACGATCATTAAAAAGAAGATGTATACGGGAAAACACAAGCCCCTCCAGGAGCTTGGCTAGGATAGATGTTAAATACACTGGGCGGTAGTTAGAAGGGCAGTCGCGGGGGGCCTTGAGTTGACTTCAGAATTGGTGTAATGTTTGCAATTTTGAACAAGGATGGGAATTGACCAAACGAGAGGGAAGTGTTGAATAAGATAGCGAGTGATAGAGCAATTACGTCTTTTGATATTTTAAGTAGACACGGAAGAATGCCGTCCTGTCCAGGGGCTTTATTACTTTGGAGGTCACCGATCCGAAGCTTCACCTCTGCTACTGTAACGGCTGAAAACGTAGTAAGGTCGTCGGATTTAGCAGGTCCCATTGGGAGCTTGTAATTCGCTTCCTTATCTGTGACAATCGAGTGAAAATAGTCGTTCAATCGCTCAGGTAGGATGGTAACCGTTTGCTTCGGAGAGGAACGCTTTGTGATCATATTCAAGGCTTTCCAGAACTGCCGAGGCACCCGTTCATACCGCTGGCACTGGTCTGAAAAGTATAGATTCTGTAGGTGTCGATACAAGTTATTGCACTGGTTGCGCAGCCGCTTGAATTGTACAGATAGGCTCTCGTCTCGAAAATTCGTAGCCTTTAGTTTCTTGACGACCGATTTGCGCTTTCTAATCAAGGCAAGGGGGGGGGCGAGGTCATGAACGGGCAATTCTTCCTGTGTTTCCTGGTTACGTACGGTGCGATGATATCAAGCACAGCATTGACTTTCCCTGTCCACTCGTCCAACATCAGGTCTGGGGTACGGGATGTAAAGATATGAAGATCGGAGGACAGCAGTATATCGCAGAAACGCTGAGCATTGAAGTTCCGGTAGTCTCTGCGTGGTTGATGGGTAGTAGTATTGCTCCGCGCATCCATGATGGGCACTGGGACGGAAGTAATGACGAGGCGATGGTCTGAAAACTCACAGTCCAGACAGAGGCTGACGGAACTCCATCATTGTTCGTGAGAATACAGTCAATGGATGTACGGGTAGAGCCTGTTATTCTTGTTGCTTCAGTTACTTTATTGGCCAGTCTGCACGGAAGTAGCAACTTGTCTTTGAGATGGTGGAACGCACTGGACGTCTGGCGCAGAAAGTCCACATTTATGTCACCTACCAACACAATATTCTCACCGTCCAGCTGCTCGGTGGATGTAGCGAGCCGATTCCAAAACTCTACCGGCTCGGATGGGGGATGGTATATGCAACCAAACAAGGTACTATCTTTGCCTGTGCCAGCTCTAAGTCACATCAACTCTGGACTGGAGTGTGAGTGGTCCAAGATGTGCTTAGCCTTAACATGTTCCTTTACGAAGATGCAGATCCCGCCTCCTTTACGACATGGAGTGCAGGAGGATAGGCAAGTGCATTCATCAGCGCAAGGCCTGTCTCGACGTAAGAGAATTGTGCCTGGTACAGAAACCTCAGTGTCCGAGATGCTTGATTCGAGCCACGTTTCTGTAACCGCCAGCAGATCTAGGCAGTGCTCATCTATTAGCTTAGTTATAACATGGGTTTTATGTCGTAGGCTGCAAATGTTTATGTGGCCAACATTTAGTCGGTTGGATGGATGAATTGTAGAGTAGAATGCTGGGGTTGAGGGATTTGGAGACGAAGGGGTGAACACAGGAGCATGCGGGTTCAGGGGCTGTGAATACCGGTAGGTGGTGTGTGGCATTATGTGAGTGCTGGAGCTGTGCCGTCAGCACCAAAGCGCCATTCACGAACTGCAAAACCGAGCGAGTCCGGCCAAAATGCTTTGTCCTGTACGGTGGTGGCGTCCGACGCCAACACTGTGACCCTGGCAAACCCTGTTCGGAAGCGCTCCGAGGTGTACACAACACTCTGGACGATGTGTACATCCTGTGCCTGACAATGCTCTGCAATTGATTTGGCATCACATTCGGGGTCCACGTTGCCAACGTAGAACACTTTGACTCTTGGCTTACCCGTTAGTGCACATCGGGTGGTGCTTGTAGATATCATACATGCAGTTGTATGTAGTACTATATACGCACGTGCAGGCATGCCGTGCTTGTACCGCTTTATGTATAGCACAAGAGAGATGACATGGCGCACTTCTGATAGAGAACTAAAGAAGATCTGTTTAGCACAATGGCTGTCTTGTGAGTGACTGAATAGATGTCTACATTGGCACAGTGAACAAAAATGACAAAGGGCAGGACGCCCAAGGAATTTATTCCTGACTATGCTGCGAGCAACGTCGGTGCTGATTTTGAACTCTGGCTCGAGGACATAAATGATTTCCTTTCAATCAGTGAAGTGACGGCAGCAGCTGACAAGAAACGCTTGTTCTTGAATCTGGCTGGATTAGCAGTGAGGCGCATTGTGAAAGGTCTGGTTGTCACGGTGGAGCAGACACAAGATGGCTCACCTGGAGATGAGTACCAAGCCTTGACGGACGCATTGTTGGCACACTTTCGACCGTCAACAAATGTCACGTCTGAACGTCACAAATTCCGCCAACTCCGCCAAATGGAGGGCGAGTCGGTGACTTCGTTCGTTGGGCGGCTGAGAGAAAAGGCAGATGTTTGCGAATTCAGCTCTACTTCTGTGGATACCATTGTCAACTGCCAAATTCGTTGCCAGCTGATCGTGGGCCTGCGTTCTGTTGAGCTTCGAAAGGAACTGCTGAAACAGTCGAAGCTGACCCTGAACGACGCCGTCACCAAGTCAGTGGCGTTGGAAGCGTCGATTACTGACAGTAAACTGTACGATAGTACCAGAGCTAGTGACGCACCGCCTGTGTTCCCCGTGCCCATCCAGCGTGTGCAAGCTGTCTCTGCAGCTGGTTCTGGATCAGAGGGAAAGAAGTGCAAATACTGCGAACGTAGTCACAAACCAGGCATGCGTAACTGTCCTGCGGCCAACGTCACCTGCAACAAGTGTGGCAAGCGAGGGCATTTTGCAGCGGTCTGCATGTCAAACAAAGTGGAAAGACACGAAGAAAGAGCCCGGCCAGTAGAGGATGAGCCTGATGAGTACGAGCATGCAAGTCGCATGTACGACTCCGCTTTCGCCGTCAGTAGCTCGGCACTCGCAGGCGACAAGACATTCCAGACTACACTCAAAGTCAATGGTGAGCTGTGCACTGAACTGTTAGACACAGGTGAAACTCGGACGATCCTCACTGATGATGTGATCAAGCCCACGCGCAAGAGTGACCGCTTGCTGAAAGCGTACAATGGCGGTGTCGTAGAGACTTTGGGCATGGCTGACGTCCACATTTCACATGGTGGCAAGAACGTGAAGTGCAGTTGTTTCGTGGTAGCAGCCAGTCAGCACTCCGTTCTCTTCGGACAGGATGTCATCAAGGAGCTGAACCTCCTGTCACAAGCAAACGTGGTGAACGTGTCACCCATCGAAATCTCTCTGGAAGACGGTTCAAAGCCTCTAGCCCAGCCACCACGACGCCCAGCTTTCAGTATCCGGGCTGACATCGAGACCGAGCTGAAACGGCTGACCAAGTTGGATATCATTGAACCCGTCAAGGAAGCCACGCCGTGGGTGTCACCACTTGTTCCAGTCCGCAAACCGAATGGAGCATTGCGACTATGCGTAGACTACAGAGAGCTGAATAAGAGAGTTACACGTGAGCGCAACGTTCTTCCAACCGTTGACGAGATCACAGCTCAGCTTGATGGCGCAGGGGTCTTCTCAGTTCTGGATGCGGAATCTGGATTCCATCAGCTACTCTTGTCAGAAGAAGCAAGGCCTCTAACGACTTTCTCATCGCACTGTGGCCTGTTCCGTTTCAAGCGTTTACCTTTCGGTATTGCATGTGCGCCTGAGATTTTCCAGCGAGTGGTGTCCGACATTCTGAAAGGCCTGCCAGGAGTCATCGTCTACATCGACGACATCCTAGTGTTTGACTTCAATCAAGCAGAACACGATGCACGGCTAGAAGCAGTCAAGCAGCGACTGCGAGCAGCTAACCTCCAACTCAACTGGACCAAGTGCCGACTGAACCAGGACCGTGTGAAGTATCTGGGACATTGGCTAAGTGCGACCGGCTTGTCCCCAGATGATGACAAGTTACAAGCCATCCAGGAGCTGGCCCCTCCGAAATCTATCTCTGATGTGCGACGGTTCCTGGGGATGGCTACGTACCTTGGAAAGTTCATTCCGAACTTGGCCCAGACCACGGCTTCTCTGCGCAGGCTAGCAAAGCGTGATCCCTTCAGTGTGGATGATGAAGTCCTGCAGGCATTCACCTCAGCAAAGGCTGGTATAGCGTCAGCTTTGCAAGCGTTGGCATTCTTTCAACCAGCATTGGACGTCCCTACTGCTATCAGCTGTGATGCATCGCCAGACGGTTTGGGAGCAGTCCTGTGGCAGAAGAATACCAGTGGCTGTTGGGTACCAGTGACATGTGCCAGTCGCTCTCTATCAGATGTTGAGTCACGCTATTCTCAGCTGGAACGAGAGATGCTGGGAGTGGTATTCGGCCTGACTCGCTTTCGGCAGTATGTACTAGGCCGAGAAGTGCAAGTGTTTACGGATCACAAGCCGCTTATTTCTATCGTCCAGAAGCCGTTCGACGAAGTGCCACCGAGGCTTCAGAGATGGCTGGTCGCATTGATGCCCTATCGCTACAGCTTGGTGTTCGTCCCTGGCCAGCAGATGGTTTGTGCTGACACCCTCTCTCGAGCTCCTGTACCTGATCGCACAGCTTCACCTGCAGAGGCACGTTCAATGGCGGAATTCGTTAGTCTCATTCTCGAGGCTTGTCCGGTTCGTTCCAAGGATATTCGCCAGGCCACGGACTCTGATCCGACACTGAGCAGCGTCCGACAAAGAGTGGGCACATCAGTTTGGTCAGGGTGCATCCAAACGGAAGAGCCTTACTTCCTGCTACGCCATCAGCTGACAGTCATCGAAGGGATTGTCATGCTAGACAATCGCTACGTCATTCCAGAAGAGCTCCGCCCAGCGGTGCTGCGACTAGCACATGAGGGTCATCCAGGCATCGATGCATTCCGGGATACCCTTCGCGAACGGGTTTGGTGGCCAGGTCTCATAAAGGATGCCAATCTGTTTGCAGAGAAATGCTCTGAATGCTGGCGTAAACGCTCCAATCCAGCGCAACAGCTCCTCCCTACAGAGATAGAAGGTGTCTGGCAGAAACTGGCCATTGACCTTGTTACCATTGAGGGAGCCACGTTTCTGTCTGCTATTGATTATGGTTCCCGCTGGCCAGAGCTTCTACCACTGTCCAATACTACGACAACGGGTGTGATCGACAAGCTGATGGAGTTGTTCGCACGGTTTGGTCTGCCTTCAACACTCGTCTCGGATTGGGGCCCACAGTTTGCATCCACTGAGATGTCCGAGTTTCTCGCTCAGTTGGGTGTTGAGCATTGCAAGTCTAGCCCCCGGTATGCCCGCTCTAACGGTATGGTGGAGCGACTACATTGTCTGGGGAAAGAACGAGTTGCCAGCCTGAGACCTCATCTACCGCTACACCGCCGCATCACTCAAGTCTTGTTCGACATTCGCAATTCGCGGCACCGGATGCTAGGTACATCGCCGAGCGAAGCGTTGTTCAGCAGAGTCATTCGGACACGGTTTCCAGCATCCATCACCCCACAGATCGTCAACCCATCTGAGCAGATCAAGGCGAAAGCAGCAATGGTTGAAGGTCATGACTCGCGCCGAGGTGTCCGCAAGTTACCCCATTTGCCATCAGGTACGCGGGTAGTGCTCCATGATGGGTACAGCGACCCTCGAAAAGAATGGAAGGTAGTAGAGCAGTATGGTCGTCAGGTTGGGGTCACTGATGGGTCACGCATACTGCTCCGGAACCGTCAGCATGTTACCGAGTTTGTAGCACCAGCACCAGCAGCAGCGGAGAAAGCACCCATGAGTGAACCTCCGGCACAGTCAGAGAGGGAGCATGTGCCAGAGCCAGTGTGTGCTCCAGCACTGCCAGTGTCCGACCCAACAAGCCTTCCGTCAGCGAGCAGCGCAACATCCAGGCCCGAAGCTCCGGTAACTGCGCTCACATTGCCGTTGTCTCCTGCAGCTTCACCGGAGACGACAGCATCACCTGCAACATCGGCCTGTATGTCACTGTCACCGCCAACATCTCGTCCAAGTGTATTCCGCGAGGGCGTACAGACCAGAGCTGGCCGTCAGATCAAGCTTGCAGAGAAAGCATGTGAAGCTGACATCTGAGTCGTCGAGTCATGCATTACCAAATGAGTGGCTTCAATCGCTACCAGATTGGCGTTGTTTAGAATCTTCTAACTACCTTGTGAATATTTAGATTTTTCTTTATTTTTTCCCCTTATTGGTCGAGTTTGCATTGTAACTCAAACTCATGGTGTTTTTGCTTCAAGTTTTGAGTCAGATTACTTCTAATAGTTGCAACACTTCCCGTCTCTCTTTTACTCCAACACATGTACGTACATTCCTCTGCAAGCTGCAGGATACGGATGCAAGTGTTTTTGTTTTGTTTTTGTTTTCCTTTTTTTCTCTTTCTTCTTTTTTTTTCTTTTTGAGAGAAGGGGGGTAATGTAGATATCGTACATGCAGTTGTATGTAGTACTATGTACGCACGTGCAGGCATGCTGTGCTTGTACCGCTTTATGTATAGCACGAGAGAGATGACATGGCGCACTTCTGATGGAGAACTAAAGAAGATCTGTTTAGCACAATGGCTTGTGAGTGACTGAATAGATGTCTACAGTGCTCTTTGGAAGCTTGAGTGCCAGCCAGCGAGACGATTCCTGTCGCCTGTACGGCTTGGGAGGCTGGCGTTGTGGCCTTTGGGCAGCTGGGGCAGCTGCAGGGGCAGTATTTTTGGGCTGCAATGCTGGTTGTTGGTGCAAAGTTTCTGCATACGTGGGTCGATGTTGTGGGGTCGAGGATACGGTTTTGGCAAAGCTTGGTTCACTGGGGTCATTGTTCAAAGTTTGAATCACCGTATCGTACCTCTCAACTTTGGCATGCAGGTCGTTCCTAAGTTCCCGTACTTCCGTCTCCAGGCACAAAACCTCTCTGGCAGAATCGTTGAATTTAGCTTCTATTTCTCTCATGGCGTGTAACTCAGTCTTCAACTTTCGGACGACATTAGTGAGTTCAGACAGAGCTGAGCACAGGCTGGCAACAACACCCTCATTAGCAGCCAGGGGGCTCGTGCTAGTAGGTTCACTTACTTCTTCGTCCTCATCCAGCAACAAGATCGGGTCTGGTGGCTTTTCGTGGGATTTCCAGTCCACGCTGCCTGATGAGGTCCCTCAGCTCCCCGTCGATCAGGACTGCAATGTCCACTTCAGCAGCGGGCTTATTAGCCATTTTATTACTAAATAAAGGACTTTTCCGGTGGCCTAAAGCCCAGGAAATTACAAAAAAGGCCGCTTTTCGGGAGCCAAAAAAGGCGCTGCCCCGTACACGAACTCTATGGTCCATGAGTTGGGGGATAATACATTCTCATCCTCTTCTTTTTCAGCTTGTAATCCTACTGCCGGGGATCACATCGCAAGCATAACACAAGATGGGTTTGTAACTTGTGAAATTGGATATGCTTACCTTCATCCTCAACCGGTGTGTAATGGAACGTCAACAATCAAAAGTTGCACGAGTAAGTAAAACAGTAAGGTGATATCTAGTTTTGTTAAAAAATCTGAAAATCTAACGACATCTAGGAATAAACTCGGATGGAGAGGCAAGGATTAAAATAAAATAAAAAACAGAAAACCATTAGTTTACAAGTTATTCGTTTTTGTCTAACACTAACAATTATAAGCAGGATACTGTTGAGTCAAAATGTGCAAAAATTAGAACAAAATTGACTTATGTGATACTTACATTCAACGACCTGATGCTTAGCTGCATCATGTCTTGAATGCGCAAACCAACAACCTTCCAACTTGGAAGGTTCTAAGTTATGAAGTAACGTAAGAAAGAGGATGGTGAGCGCACTCTAGACAAAAAATAAACTAAACATCACTGCGAACTAAGAATATTTGTTAAGACAAGATGATGACAAAGGACGAAGGACCATGGCACAGGATGGCTTGGGCTCACTTCGAGAACGCGAAACAACGACCATCCAACTTGGACACCCATGCCAGTCACGGCAACGGAAGATAATTATTGCGATCGCCCCGCATTGTACAATCATGAGCAGAGTACGGGAAGCACACATTCAAACTGAAGTCGCATTGTGCAACAGAAGCAGCAGAAAAAGAACCGAAATGAACATTTGTCTTTCAATGGAAGTGCTTCCGTCTAAGGGTGGTCACACCTGGCGCGGTGACAGCGCCCCTACTCAGACAAGGCAAACGAAATTTTAAAAAATAGCTGAGTCACAGCACGGGACTCAGAAATGAAACTGGTGAGTATGTGGATATGAATTGTTTGTACCTGCTGAACAACGTAACAATTGCTTGATTTATAACGTATTTTCAACCTGGCACTCTTAGAATTGTGGTTCAAATATGCCACTCGAATATAGTAACAAGTACAAAGAGAGACTCTTCTACCACGCCTCAACAGTCACCATGATTTCGACTTGTCCTCTAAGACTCCATATCGATGGGAGCTAGAAATAAGTTTTTCTTTGTACCTGCATGTGAGAGTTGTCATATGCCATGCTTTCGCGCGGAATATTTCTTCGAGTTTACAACGAGTTAATCCAGACATGACATACGATAAGACGGCAAACTCCCCGGAGATTGCCAGGATTGTTCAACTTTTTTGAAATGAGGGTATTGCCCTCTGATCTGCTTTAGTGATCAAGTTATAGTGCCCTTGAATATGGGGCAGGCATGGAAATATGCCCTAATAGGGGGTCTGTCATTGCTTCGGTTAAATCCGATGACACATGGTGATGATGTGGCTCATTATCATGTGAGCCCCGGCCAGCGAAAACCAGCACTTGTGTACTTGATATCAATCATCAAAATGTGACGTCAAAGTTTGGGACGCGCAGTGAGCTTGCTTTTGAAGATTCTTTTTCGATCGAGTGGGTGTCTTGGTTGTCAAAGGAGTTTCAAGTTTCTTCAAATGAGTCTGGTCAATAGATTTTAGTGCTAGGTGAGAGCTCGTCAAACGGAGATTGAGTTTAGACACAGCGATGGCGACAGGTGTCGCGACAAGGACTTAGGTCCAGAGTTGTCAGCGTGAGACTCCCTGTACGAAGCGGCGCTGAAAGTTAGTTCGCGATCGGAATTATTTCTTTGGTGGCGATCTCGCTGAGTTTGTCCAGCAGTGGCGAGTCTCATATTCATAGCAACGAAGAGCCCTCATAAAATCGACACTGGATACTGGTGGCGACGATAGTCAGTGCTGGAGTAATAGCGACTGCGAGAAGCTGAATGTCGACCCGCTGAGCGATCCGTATTTCTACATCGACAACAATGATGTTGCAGACACTGATGGAGGGCTTCTCACGGCGCAAAACAGAGCGTAGTATTATTAGTACAGTACTCTACCTTGCCAGACGACGCCAAGCTGGCTGCTGCCTGTGCTGAGAAAGGGGATTCCTAAAAAGTCAAACCGGCTGAATGCTTTGGGGCAACATCTTCACGTGCTACAAAACGCGAGTATTCGCTCATATCATCGAAATACAATTATGCTGAAATCATGGTCTTACTGAAAGTGTGCAAGGGAGTGGATGTCAGTGGTATTGGTCAGTACATCTATCAGTATGGCAAGCTTTGGGACAACGCTCAAACTGCCAGCACAGAGGTCCCTGAACACAATTTGGAAGACCAGCCACCAATCATCGTTTTGCACTCTGGTGTTGTAAAGAAGGTAGCGGTGTATACGGAATATCGTCACACTTCTGAACTACTCATGCCTGCAGCACCAAGAGGGCAAGCCTGACTTGCATTCTATTTACTTACATGTACCTGTTCCACATCACAATCAGAAACTGTAGGATCAACTTGCATGGAGTCACTGGGCATGGATGCTGCGCCAACTGTACCGAATTTTGACCTGTGTGACTTCAAACTCTATTTTCCAAGCTTTGGCTTATCAGATTGTCACCAAACTTGATAACTTGAATGATTATTAGTGTAGAATCAATTTCGAGCGAAAAAATTTTTTTTGAAAAAATTACACATGTTCAGGTTTCTGCTGGCTGGGGCTCATGTCTTTTTGCTGCAGATTCTACAAGCTATTCTAATCCTACTTACTGCAAAAATCTAACCCTTCGCTATCAACAAGGATATGGAGGACGCGTGAATGGCACGGAAGCCCGCGAGATCTGTCAGTCATCAGGAATGGACTTGCCCACAATGCGCCACTTTAATGGGGAATTAATTACCGGTCATTGCTTATACCAACTGATTGAAAATTGGCGTCATGATGTGATATCGCCCAGGCCCAAATTGGATATAGGGGTTTTCAGTTGGAATCTTGATCGCGACCAAGAGTATCTCGGTGTATTCTTCCGGGGTGGAGAACAAAGTAGATTGCGTGATGGAATAACGCATCATCGGGTCGTTTGTGCTGGTATGTTGCTTCTTTATCTTATCATGCCTGTACTCCCTTACTCGGTTGAGTTTGAGAATCTGATTTCGTTCAAAGTTGGCTCCTTTTATCACTAGATGGACCTCAGTCACCCGCTATGACAGTTTGGACCAGAAACCCTACGTTCTTTCGATTTTACCAAAATAGAAAGATCGATAATATCACGAACTGAAACGCCTTCAAAGAAGGTATAAGGACGAGGGATCACAGCTTTTCAGAACAACACAGTGCAGGCAAACCAACTAAATTCGCACACCAACCCAAGTTACCTAGTAATGTTTGGCGATCCAACTTTCGACTGGCAACTTGCTTAGTTCTTCGAACGAATCGATCAACTCAGCCTGTCCAATGGCGGCCATTACGAAGGCCATCTTCAAGGGCCAGTAGCAACTAGGTTATGCCCTGATAGTGGGCATAGACCACCACCATAGCCTGCTACATGTTCGCTAGTGCCTTCAAGTGATCTTGAATAAAGTTATCCATCTTAATATTGAGTCACCTCCACCATCACCCTGCGCTCTTTAGCCGACTAGACCCTCCTGCACACAACCATCACCACAGCGAGGCCAGCTGTCAATATCATCTATGGAAGTGTCCTCACAGTGGTGATGGTTGTGAGCAGGAGGGTCTAGTCGGCTAAAGAGCGCTATGTACTGGTGGATGTGATTCAACATGTTCTTCAATTGCCCAGTGCTCTGTTGCACCCTGGAATAATATGATACATGGCCAGCAATCGAGGACATCGGAGAGTTGTAATTTTGTACTCCTCCGAAGTGAGATTTTTGGCGTGCTGGGCCAAGCACAAGGAAGCCATCTGCCAAAAGAATATCACAAGGTTTTCCAGCAAGATGCCACGTAAGTGAAAGATGCCGATGCACACTCAAAGGGGCAAAACTCAAGTATGAGTTGACACTAGTGACAAAAATCAGGCACGAAAAGGCAAGACTAACACAACATTCTACTGGTTGAACAATTTCAAATAGATAATACTCTCCTTTTGAATACAAAAGTCAGGCTTATGAATGATTTGGAAACAGCCTCCAACACTTTCACCTGTAACTGATAACCATGACGTCCACGACACAAAACGAAGAACCTTGAATCAGAATACTGTTGGCAACATTGAGCACATGATACCAAATGATTATTCGTCAGGCGAAATAGCACGTCATCGTACATTTGAGATCAGCGGGAAGAAGATGACGACGTCCACTAATTTAGTATCTGTGCACACGAATCTGCTGTGTGTGTGCCTCTGTGTGTCAGCTATGATATCATCTTCTGTGGTTCCATGCCTAGCATGTACGTCTGAACCATCCTGCAAAGTTTGAATGACGTAGGTTGAGCGATCGCTCCGCGAAATATACTTTTTGAAATTCTCTTCATAGTATATCTTCCACCATTGAAATTTCGAATTTCTTCAAAAAAAGTGCTGAGAGGGGTGGCTTGCAACCTCGATATGGCTTGTTCCAGGTATGCTTTGGAGCCATCTTCTGTTGAAGTAGTGGCGGGGATCTGCCCTGCAACTGCTACAACAAAAAATGATTCGATCTGAGAAAGGGTGAGTCCGCGAATCTCGGTTGAATATTGAGTATTTCAAGCCTTTTCACGACGAAGATGAAGTTCTTTTTGGAGATGGACGTCGCGGCAAAGGACATGGTGTCTGACGTCTGGCGTCTGGTGAAGCCAGGGATCATTTGTCCAGTCAGGTCGGCAGCCTAACCATCGGTAAGCTTGTGTTTGGATCCCGTTCTGCTCGATGTGGTAGATCACAAACAATTTGATATCGCACAAATTGATCTCAGCATCGTGCGTACGGTATTTTATATTCAGAAAATCCCAAAGTGTCTCTGTGTGGCCGTCCTATGCCACGAGAAACTCCAATCAGGCTCCTATGTCCTCTGCCTTCATGATTGAATGTCCACTTCGTTTGAACAACGAACACAACAATCGAGGACGGCTTTGCAATGAAAAATACAGCTATACTGGAGCTGAAAAAAAGAAGAAAAAAACGTGCTCAGGATGAGACTCGAGTACACGCATACTCTCTCAGCAGGTGAAACGCAAATTTTTGTGAAAAATGCGTGACGCCGACTGACCAGTAATTTCGCCTGACGAGTGGCTTAGCTCAGGCAATATTTGCACGGATACAGGATATCTTTGGCTAACCAAGTCTAGATGTATTTTAAGATCCATGATACAGATAACACATGTTATTTCACTAGAGGCTAGGCAAAATATCTGGCAGTTGCAATATACAATACAGAAGCGTGTAATTGTGAGCAAACGTTAGTGCACTTTTTCAATTGAATCATTACATTATAAATACAGCCTCTGTGCTACGCTTGCGAGTCCACAATGGCCGAAACAGTTTCGCCCGCAGATTGAGTAGATTACAGGTTATGTGTGCAGCATTTGCAACAAATACATGATATTGGTTCGGACTAGTGTGAGCCGTGGTGTTCACACAATAATTGGGAGAATGCTCCGTGGTTTAGTTGCTCACGACTACTTGGTCCGTTTCATCGCAATTGTCACTCATCTATCGCAACTTAGAACAGGAGTTATTTTACCGCTCTGTCAAATTTCCAATACGCATAGTGAAGAAGCATGATACAGGATTCCAGTCCGCCACAAGAAAAATAATTCAGCGATGGAATCTGATGAAACAAGTTGAAGAAAGGAAGCAAGGTTAAAAAAATGTCCAAAAGAAAACAGCGACATAGCACATTCTTGCATTCACGCTTTAGTTTAGCAGACTCTGGCTCTGTATCACTAGAGCTGATGGCACTTGAGCTGACATTCGCTGGTGTGTACATGTATAGCTGCTGGCGTAGAGTATCTCTTGCTTTCTCCGCTTAGCGTATAGCAGGGATGGGAAAGGAACAGTCGTGGCTGTCACTTTGGCAGTTGGAGGAACGTGGGCAGCGTGACCCATGTGTCACGACTGTGTGTTTCAACAATGTTTTTGATTCAGGCACACATCCCTCTCCAGACAGCTGCCATACGCTCTGCTGGATATGCTGACCATGACTATTGTACTGCTGCTGCCTGGTCGGACAATGCCTTCTTTGCCACCATCTCGCCATCAGTTTGCAGGCTTGCAAAGAATGCCAGATCGTTGCACTTTCAGTTCAAACGTGGCGACTGAACTGGCTGGCCTGGCCATGACTGTCACGTTCTCCAGTTCAGGATGTCAATTTCCTCTGCTACAGTTCCGGTGTTCGAGCTGCGCTTGGCTTTTCGCTGCAGTGAATGTGTGCATTCACTGCAGTGCATTCACTGCAGGGAAAAGTTCCCCACTTTCCCATCACAATCGTACGAATCGCGATGCCACTGGCGCTAGTCACGATGGTTTTTTTCTTTCTGGTCTCCTTTGATCTTGCCATCACAACCTCCGAAACGAATGTGATTTAGATATCGATATCGGGCTGGGTTTTACCTGTCAAAAGGTGAGTGGGAGATAAGCGACACTTGCGATGAAACAGACCAAGTAGAAAACTACAGACCTAGTTGATGACCAAACTTGTTGCTCTTCCCTCCAAACTATGTACATGTGAAACAAAACCCATCACTCACACACTTGGAACCGGTCAGCCAGGCGTAGGTTTCCGGCCAGTAGCAACGGAGTCTTATAAGTTATGTACTGGCCACGTACTTTCATCGCCAAGAAGACATACCGTACACATGGACTGATAAACCTCCTAGGTGGTAGGAAATGGTGCTGCATTAGCTCAAACATCTCCCTTGATCTAAGCGGAAACTGGCAATTTCAGCCACGAGCCCTGCGCCCCAGCCACTTTCCAAGCCCTTCTCCCCTTTTCCGGATCATGAAACGTTCACAAAACTCCGGCATCGTCAAACAGTTGCTGAAGAAGAGTACCGGCTTCATGTCGAGCTGCAAGTTCCAAAGAATCACATTCTACAAGACAACCGGGACCATCCTCGGGTGACGACATCTCCCCCGACGCTCCAGACTAATATTGAGAGTCAGAGATTCTCGGAGAGTCCACACTTGCGGGCTGCCCTGAAGCGAATTCGCTGCCAGAGTCGACAGAATCAGACACCGATTCAGCGCTGAAGAGTTGCCTGAACAACCGCTATCCTGACGCTTGTAAGAAATTGGTGAAAACAAATCTCCAATTTTCGCTTGGTAAAATCACTTCACACATGTACCTGACAAACAGACAGAACTTGGAAATTGGTGGCGAAGAATAAAAAGAAAATGGAAACAAACTGAAAGCTTTCGAAACAAAAAGACTGTGACTTTTCGACTTCGAATTCGACTCCGGTTTTGCTGTGCAGCACTATTGCAATGTGGTTCACACAGCGAATACGAACAGCGGTTCAAATAAGTACAAGCCTATCCTTGAGCTTCACAAAATGTACATAGAATATATGTCCTACCAGTACAAGCCTACATGTGGACCCTGCTAACTCTTCTTCAGTCAACATTGGACTCCACGCGTGAAACCAGTGCCTCTAGACTTGTGCATTAACTGGTAGTAGTACAGTGCATGTCGACATGTTCTGGCCAAGCACGTATGGATACCTGACTGCAAAGTATCCACTCTGGTTACTCGCCTGAATAGACACACAAGACTTACGAGGGCGAAACACACGCCCATACTCACTCTCACACTCTCCCATACCCACGCTCTCTCCCTCACTCAACTCACTGCTAGCGCCTCCAGAGTCAGTGCAGTTTCCGTCGTCATCCTCATTTTTTACTTCATTTCTTTTTTTATATTTCTCAAACGTGGGAAGTTCCCGAAGATCTAAGTTCCTGGACAACAGATCAAATATTGCAATGTAAAATTATAAGTTCCTTATGGGCTGTGACACTAACCACAGTAACATAACCAGGGCCGGAGGAAGGAGTTTTAGAGTGGTCCGGCAAACCTTTGAGGGGGTCCGACGGTCCGGGGGACCTCCCCCGGAGAAATATTTAAAATTTACGTGAAATAGAGCGAATTTGGGCACCTCTTAAGGCTCCAGGAAATGCAGAAAATTATAGTAAAAGAGCACAAACACAACTTTTTTTTATATCCATATCAAGCCATACAGTGCCGGTCATGGAGTCCTGAGCTACTTGGAAGCACATCACACGTCGGCAATACAGTCGAGCCATGTACCTCTGGATTATGTTACACCGGTTTTGCACGAATCACATGGACCATCCAGCTGGGAAAGTGGTCCGGCCATGGTATCCCGACGGTTCACCGAAAACGCGTTCACAGAACGACCATTCACAGAACGACGTTTCACCGAAAGACATTTCGCAGAGTGTAAGATTTAGCGACTGTTCATTTCGCCGAAAATCAGGTTCACAGAAAACAGGTTCATCGAGAGCATGTTCACCGAATATCGGTTCACAGAATAGCAGTTCTGCCGAATAGCAGCTTCACCGAAAAAAGGTCGCTGATGACATCGATATAATTATATCGCATTCGAATCCTCTAAAGAATAGCAGTTTCACCACATAACAGTTTCACCGAAAACATGACACTAATTCCAGCGACTCTGATGTACATCGAATTTGAGTCCTTTTACTTGTGAAACAAGCCCTTGCTTTCATTCCGCTGGGAGACGGTGCGCATTACTTTTAGTCACTGGAAGCCGACTTTCCTCCCGAGGCGGAGGAAGTATTAACGTACGTGTACTTTGAAACTTACAACATAGGCAATCTAAGAGCTAATGGGACCAGAAAAACGCCTTTGTTCCGGCATGAGTGGTGGAACGCGCACACAAGAACGGCTAACGGAGAACACAGAACGAACAACATCCAGGAAGGTTGGCATCGCCGATTTTCAGCTGAAGAAAACTGCCATCAACCGACATTGTGGAAGCTGATCGAGAACATAAGGAGCGAGCAACGAAGCAATGAAAAAAATCTGGAAAGAATGCATGCTGGGCAAGATGGGCCAACAAGGAAGGAGCGGTACAGGAAGGTTGATCAGCGCCTGCGCACTGCAGTGACCACATTTGAGCAATGCCCGCCACTGGAGTTTTTGCGTGGTATTGCCCATAATCTGGCTTTCTTCGTGGAGCCGTGATGTGATTATTTCCATCAAATTGCACCACAAGACTTAGTCTTCTTCTACAGTGTTGTTTTGGATTTTATTTCATTGTGTTAGTTTTAGCCGATAAGAGAGGCTCGAGTACCTTTCACTACACATTTTATAAGCGGCCAAGATTTTGGGTCAATTATAAGTAATTTTCGGTGAACTGTCCATTCGGTGAAAAAATGCGTTTGTGAACCGGGATTCGACGAAACAGAATTCTGTGAATGAAAATTCGGTGAATAGATATTTCGGTGAATCTGCAGTGGCGGTGAACTGTCATTCTGTGAAATGTCTTTCCGTGAAACGTCGTTCTGTGAATGGTCGTTCTGTGAACGCGTTTTCGGCGAACGGTCGTAGATCCCCATGGCCGGACCAGCCTGATCGGTTCCGCCGGCCCTGATAACAATAATTATCTTCAACCTTGGGTCTCCCTATGTAAGTAACCAGTGTTCTATGCCCCCCCCCTCTTCTGCAGAATATACGTGGTGTGCCCCCCCTGCCCCACATGCGGGCTTTCGTAATTTCTCATACATTAGTGGCTCGACAACTAAAGGAACAATGGACTGTAGCCCTGGGTTCCTTCGCATTGGTACCCTGCCGATGATGTGCAGGGGTGGAGACAAGTGGAGTGCTGAATGCAAAGGTGAGTCCGGAATCAACATATCATAATACTTGCCCTTTTTCCTGTATTTTCTTCAAGTCACACCTTGCTCCTTTTCATAGTGTGTGACCTTTTACTATGCACCCGGATTCCCATTTTGAGTAAAAGTGACTTTGATCAAGAGCACATGAAAACTAGTATGGCATCTTGAATGGGTTGGTGTCACAGCGGACTTCCAAGATTACATCATTTTAGTGATGTGCCTACAAGCAGGACTCAAGCAGGTCTCTTTCTTCACAACTTCAGCTCAGCTGTACGCACTACGCCATGTCCCCCCTCAGATCTGCGCCCCCTCTACCCTTGGTTTGACTTAAGCAGCGCTGAGGTGAACAAACCAAACTTTGCATAATTGTGGAATTGCTGCTGCTTGCACATCACCCATTGGCGAGGTTTTGGAGTTCGATAGAGCAGAAGTAGCAACTACTTACAGTCGACCTACCCTTATAACGATATTTGCGGCAGACCAAGACATATTGTTATAAGGGTAATATTGTTAGAGGGGTAACTGGGTCATTTTATACACATCCGTCATAATGCATGGATTTTGTTCATTTTTTACACCCTTCATACATGTACATGTATCATAAAAACTGACGTACGTGCACATTATGTACACAGCAAGGTGCCCGCTGGTGCCCCCATTGTATTTCATCATGTCCCAGTGACTTATCAAGTGAAGCTTGCCCTACCTGGATAGTGCGTTCTACATTATTCCCTGCTAGATATTGTTATAGAATGGAAAATGTCGATTGGTCAGCCCATTTTGTATCGTTATAGGGGTAATATCGTTATAGAGGTAAGGCATTGTATACACAAGTCAATGGAGTGATTTGGTTTGGCAGAAAAATATCGTTATAGGGGTAATATCGTTATAGAGGTTATCGTTATAAGGGTAGGTTGACTGTATCTGATTTCTTTTATCTTAGGAATTCAGTTCCAGTTCCATGCTGAGATTGGTTCTGTTTTTCGTTCGCATTTCTATTATCATTTAACATGTAATGCTACCACGGGTCATACTTTGCCTGAGCCTTGTTCAGGTATCCATATTAATTGAAAAAAATTTAAATGCCTTGTTTCCGGAGAAGACTTCCAGGCGAAAATGTACTTCCTCCGCGTCATCGATATTGTCGCAGTTTGACTTTTGATATAAAACGGGGTATTTACTCACCAGCACTTGTACCACAGGCAAGGAACCGGACATAGGCGATAGTCATCAGTATATGGTGACGGCAAAGTTCTATTTTCTGTTATTGGAAGCTGAAATCTTTCAACTAGACGCGATTTCTTCGCTGATGTCGCTGAGATGGTAATTTAGACTCGCTGAGATTATTCAGGCGTGGCAGCCTGCACATTTCTCGTGCTTATGGCCATTCACTCAACGCCTCATCACTGTTTTACCTTAGCTGGGGTGAGAATGACTTCGTGGAACAAGTGGCAGCGCTTGGACTCACTTGGAGAAACATCGAGCGGTCAGCAAACTAAATGCATGTAACAGCGATAAAATTTGTCGCTCTGCATGATCTGGCTGAGACACTCAGTACATGATTGTACCTGCAAGAGCCGTGTAGAGTCTACACGTAGTGCAAGTGGTGCACGCGCAGGTGCCGTACCAGTGATGCTGAAAAAGAGGGCGCGCTGGACGTGATAGTATACTTACCTGCATGAGCTGTGACCACACAGCTAAAATAAATGGGCATGCCACGGCTAAAAAAAGTTCATTCAAGATCGAGGTGATTCCACCGACGGTAGGCAACCGACCTCGCAACGATCATGTGTATTCTTACTTCGTTGGTGGTGACGAAGAAATCAACCAGAGCTAGCAGATGACAAGCATAGCAGCTCTTGTCCTGTGGAGAAAGTCAAAGCATTTTAGATGAGGCGCGACCAACTTACAACCTTCCTTGAAATATTTTGGAACGATATTTTTGCGTCCATTGACAACAGCGACGACGAGGCCTTCAACTCTATTATCTCTTAATTGCCACTGGCTATCGTGAGAATAAAGATTTGAGACTCTGCGTGAAAACTCTCAGTCCAACTGTCCTGGACCGTTACTCTAGCCTTCAGACTATAATACTGTGTAACAAGTTTTGAATGGTTTAGCTTATGGAGTTGTCAGTAACAAGTGACAAGTCACTAGTCAAACTGCGACAATTTCGATGACGGAGAGGAAGTAGCTTCAAAGAGTTTTGTTCTAGATTCCTGCACTGATGATGTATATGCATAATGAAGCCTGCCTGGGGAAATGGGGGCAAAATCTTAGAAATTGCCTGGCTTGCTCCACTATTTTTACACTCGCAGACATTGTGCCCTCCTCAAGATAAGTCCATTGTGTGGGTGGTTGACCGGCTGTGGGACTGTGGGTTTGTAAGTGTGTGCGCCAGCTAGTTCATTTGGTTGGTACACTTATGCCAGAGAGTGTGGGGTCTGTTGCCAATGGGCTCGGCTGCTGGAAGGAATAATGTTGTAACTGCCACCTGTGTTGGTTTCAGGATTCATATACGTTCTATTAGAAGTATACAATTCTTTTAACCATCTACTACTACTGGCTAGATTAACTCTTGTGTATTCATGGTGCTAGTGAAGCTAATATCAGATCTAATCTCATTTAGCCACCCACACTACAGTCCATTCATAAAAAGAGCTCCCGTACTTGGCGATTTCTCGCGATTTCATTGTACAAATTTTTTTCGCGATTTTATTGAACTTTGAGAAAGAGTCCTGGAGTTCGAACTCCACAATGCACTCTCCCTGGCGGGGTCAATCGGCCTGGGTAATGATGGCTTTTCCCAATTTAATGCTTTTGGGACAAAACTTGGCCGATATCCTATTCTTGTTAGGGCTTGCTTTTTGGACAAATAGACTTCATAAACTTAATTGGAAGAGGATTCCGTAGGGGACTGCAGAAAAAATTCTAAAAAAAACTAAAAGTTTGACCCATTTATCGCCCAAAGCTAGAAGTCCATCTTTTTCTGAATGGACTGTAGTAGCTAGTACTGTAGTAGCTAGTATTAGCTCCACTCGGGGCAGGGGCAACCATGCAGTTGCATGCCGGGATGGATACCTTGATGCCGTCAGTCCCTCTTTTTTTCTGCACCTTGTCCTCACCCACGTACTGAGGTGTGGTGAGCCCATAAGTGGAATCATTCCAAGTCCACCGAGAGTGTGGAGGATTTCAGGGGGTTTCGGTCGTTGGGCGCTTCAATGGCGAATTGGGTCATCTTTCCAAGATTCCTTTTGAATCCCTCTCCCCTTCACGGCGGGAGAGTGTGGGGTCTGTTGCCAATGGGCTCGGCTGCTGGAAGGAATAATGTTGTAACTGCCACCTGTGTTGGTTTCAGGATTCATATACGTTCTATTAGAAGTATACAATTCTTTTAACCATCTACTACTACTGGCTAGATTAACTCTTGTGTATTCATGGTGCTAGTGAAGCTAATATCAGATCTAATCTCATTTAGCCACCCACACTACAGTCCATTCATAAAAAGAGCTCCCGTACTTGGCGATTTCTCGCGATTTCATTGTACAAATTTTTTTCGCGATTTTATTGAACTTTGAGAAAGAGTCCTGGAGTTCGAACTCCACAATGCACTCTCCCTGGCGGGGTCAATCGGCCTGGGTAATGATGGCTTTTCCCAATTTAATGCTTTTGGGACAAAACTTGGCCGATATCCTATTCTTGTTAGGGCTTGCTTTTTGGACAAATAGACTTCATAAACTTAATTGGAAGAGGATTCCGTAGGGGACTGCAGAAAAAATTCTAAAAAAAACTAAAAGTTTGACCCATTTATCGCCCAAAGCTAGAAGTCCATCTTTTTCTGAATGGACTGTAGTAGCTAGTACTGTAGTAGCTAGTATTAGCTCCACTCGGGGCAGGGGCAACCATGCAGTTGCATGCCGGGATGGATACCTTGATGCCGTCAGTCCCTCTTTTTTTCTGCACCTTGTCCTCACCCACGTACTGAGGTGTGGTGAGCCCATAAGTGGAATCATTCCAAGTCCACCGAGAGTGTGGAGGATTTCAGGGGGTTTCGGTCGTTGGGCGCTTCAATGGCGAATTGGGTCATCTTTCCAAGATTCCTTTTGAATCCCTCTCCCCTTCACGGCGGGAGACTCTCGTGACCAGTCATGACAGTGAGCAAGTACAGTGCAGTGCAGTGCAGTGCAGTGCAGTGTCAGTACAGTACAGTACAGTGCAGTGCAGTACAGTACAGTACAGTCCACATCCTTTATTGCTGAACCCACAACTAATTGTGATACAGATTGTAAACCATTCGAGGTTGAAGAGAAAGCCATTAAAAAAAGAAAAAAAGAAAAAAAGGTCATTTTACCATGCCAGACGGCTATTATTAAGTCATGTAACAATTGTAGTACAGGACGTAGTAGTCACGCACCTACAAAATACTTTGCAGGATAATAATTATTGAAATTGCCGAGCATGCCTACAAATCCGCAGAGCATGCCAATGTTAAAAAGGCCAACATACGAATACCGAAGGCGGTTACATGGACAGAAGGCGACATCGGTCGAGAAAAGATGGGCCTATTCTCTTCCGCAAGTAAGACGCTCTGCAACCACGGAGGCACATGATTGACCACCTCAGCAAAACAAATGCAATTTTGCAGCGTAGCTGTGCCATCACGACAGCGTACTGGAGGTCACTATGCTTGTTAACCACCAGCTGAACAATGTTCTTCAATGCATGAGAGCACTTCGTGCCACATATGCCGTTGGTCGAAAATACGAGCGGAGTGAATGACCCCCTCTCGACATCGACAACACGCTGAAGATAGGACCGTTTCTTCTGAAACAGCTATGTACTTCGACTATGATGACAGTTGGATCCCAGGACGGATACCCTGATCCCGGCAATCCTTTTTCTGCAACTTGTCCTCACCCACTTATTGAGGTGTGATGAGCCCATAGGTGGGACCATTTTCAAGCCCACCCAGAGTTTGGGGGATTTCAAGGGGTGTCGGCCGTTGGGTTCAATAGCCATTTGAAGCATCTTTCCAAGCTTCCTTTTGAGTCTCTCTCCCCTCTCCAGGGACACCCACGTGACCAGTTTTGGCAGTGAGCAACAAGTACAAGTACAAGTGTGTGTGTGTGTGTGTGTGTGTGTGTGTGTGTGTGTGTGCACGTGTGTGTATGTGTGTGTTCTGTTTGTTTTTTAGCCGGTTGCTTCCTGCCCGTAATTGCCAATGGTTCTGTCGCGGGGGAGAATGAATTAAATGGAAAGTTTCTCCAGTACCGAGTCAAGTGTTCTGAAGGCTTTCACCTGTCAACAGACACCTATATTATGGCATGTAATGAAACTACATGGAACTTCACAAACCCGCCAACATGTGATAGTGAGTCATGTCTTTCTCAATTTTACGCCAACGATACTTTGACCTGAATAGGCAGCCTGCCCACACTCAAGAGATCACTGCATTTCACACAAATCCATTAGAAGTATCGTTTCAACGTTTCGGTGTTCATGACCATCATCAGTCAGGCGCGTAGCGCTGTATCGCAAAACTCGCAAACAAAGCAGCTAGAGTTTGTCGTACCATTTACCATGTCCACAAAACGCCCAAACAGGATAAAAAGTATCGAGACGTGCCCGCGCTCAACGTTCATCCACGTTCCGATGCGTGGACTGGACCTGCATACGTGGAGGGTAGGTCCTTCATAAATGTTTTGTACATGGTGTACTCTAGTCAGTATGCCATTCCTGAACATGATTGAACATGCAGCCATTGTCAGTACCCCATTCCTGAACATGATTGTACATGCAGCCATTGTCAGTACCTCGTCCATTGCAAAACGTAAAACAGCAGCGTGATGGGAGCGAGAAGAGCTGAGTGTGGAACAAAGGGTAGTAAATACCGTTCACGGGTGTTTTACTGCTCCCTGGTGTGAAGTGACCACACTGTGCTGCTTTCGTCTCAACTTGTTGCTCCCTGCCATTCAAGAAGCATGTTCAAGAAGCATGTTTTCTTGCAGTCCAAATGTCGGAGCTTCCAGCAAAACGTTTGTAAGAAGCAGCCGAAAGTACATATACAATGTAGTTCCAGATCAAAGGAGAATGATGTATAGTCTGCTGAATCAGACTCGCGTCGGAGTGCAGTATACCGCAAAGCTTCCATATAAAAGGAGTTGGCTGAACCGGTATCCTTGGCTGCAAAAATAAAAATAGTGGTAATTGTATACTATGTCGCATCACATGGCCATCCAAAGCAGACTGAAAAGGGCTCTGCTATGCCCCTATCAGGGATGAAGTGGACATGGAAGAAACAGCAGTATAAAATAAGGACACAAAGCGCGGTACCTAGTGAGAGCGCACGTAGAAAAGTGCACAGTACGTCGTGACGGGTGCATTACTACATGTGCATGGCAACACAGACACAAACGGCGAGGAAAGTAGATATTGCGCTACAGCAGTGATACAAGCGCAACTCCAGTCTCACACCTCCAGTGAGTTGTGTAGAACCCCTCGCCATTCACAGTAAATAACAGTGATATTGATGTGGGCAGAACGCACAGGTCAGTACCACAACATCCCATGCATGATGCTGAAGGTAGCTGAGAAGAAAGATTATGTAGACCATGGCAGATTGTGCTGGGGCACACTCCATATAGGTGGTAGCCTAGATACGTGAAGTCATGCATTGCCCACGTACATGTGCCCAGTGTGTCACCCAGAACGTATGCTACAGTCCATTTCAATAACATTGACAATCCTGACAATTGCACGCGGAGTTTGCCGTCTTACCGTATATGGTGCCTGGAAAACTCGCTGTGAACACGAATAAATAGTTCGCAGGTACATGTATGTCTGGTTTACAAACAAACAAAAACTTACTTCTTGCTCGTATCGATATGGAATCATAGAGGACAAGTCGAAACTGTAGTAAATGTTAAAACACGGCGCGAGTTCCGATTTGTTTTGTGACCCGAAATATTTTCGTTTAGCTGCGTGGGGTCGTTCGTTCCTGACACGTTAGAGAACCAGAGGGTTGACAACAGTCTAGTACTATTGACACATGTCCTAATTGGCTGGTGGTGATTCTTGCGTAGATGCATGCGTAGACAAAACATCTTTTGTAATATCTTCTGCCTCCGTCCTAGTTCAAATTATTATTATTATATTTTTTTACAAGAGGTCGGAGGCGGATAATACTTTAATGACGAAGGTACGTTTTAGGTCATAAGTACCCACGCAAACAGACATCTACTCAAAATAAGGCACTTGTCAAAGTATCCGAACGTTTTCGGTCCCTTCTCGTCAAGGATTATACAGGGAATGGCTCAAGTTGGAAGGACTAAAACTTATATAGCGTAAAGATAATGAGATAACAACACTCTTGACAAGGTGGAAAATTATCAAGTTCAGCACAACACAAAACTCGAAGAAAATAATAATAGTGACAACAACATATTGAGCAAATTGAGTTACATTGTTAACACCTCGATGAGGAGTAACACCAAACAATTGTAGCGACAACACATTTTCTTTCTGTACGCAAAGTTCAGGATCTAACTTACGGATATACAAAGCTTCTAACACAGCCAGATGCACCGCAGGTAGAACCCTTCAGCACCTCAGCACCTGGGCTGAAGGGTTCAAGCATACCAACAAGCATACCCCTGCGGTCCGTTTGGACCCCACAAGCCGGAATGAGGGTTAACTTGCTTGAGTTTATAAACACTTAGATGACCAGCTATTTATAGCATGCAAATGACAGCGTATATCAGAAAGAAAAGCATACGCATATATAACACAACATGACAGTGTGTACAGTAAATCACACACAGCGAATATAGCATATACCATGCAGCAAACATCAGCGGCACGGCGGAGTCGAGATACAACATTGCAACGAATACACTGTCGTAAGCGAGAAGGCCTTTCCCACTTGAGAACTGGTGGTTTTGTAGCACTGATTCAGGTTTCTCCGTTTTGTGTCGTGGACGTCACGGTTATCAGTTACAGGTGAAAGTGTTGGAGGCTGTTTTCCAATGCATTTGTAACAGGCAGCCGAGTGGTAGGCGCGGTGCAATTAACACGAGTTATCTTTTATTATTATTCTCTTAGGTACACACCTAGGATATATAAGAAGTTAAAGAAGAAGTGGCAAATAAATGGAATTTTCTCTCCGGTGCACACCTGGAGGTTGGATAGCTCGTTATTAGAAAATCTAATGAAACAGAAATGCGCAGCAGCTTTTACGCAACGGACGCCATACGCTTACATACGGAGATACACTAAAATACGTCAGGCAAAGTTCCGTATTAGTTCCGTATTACTTCCGTATTAGCCAGGCAGGGATACTACACATTCATAAGCCTGACCTGTCTTCAATAGGAGAGTATTATCATTTTGAATCTGTTCAACCAGTAGAATACTTGAATTTTTTCCCCTTTGAGTGTTTGATTGTTACCTTTCACGCACATGGTATCTTGCAAGAATACCTTGTGATACCTCTTTTTCCACTGGTTTGATGTAAAGACACAAGCGGGAAAAGTCTGAATAAAAAAATTGTTTGTCACCTCCAGGACTCGAACCAGAGACCCTTGCTTGCAGCCAGCGATGCTCTAACCACTGAGTTATGGTGTAGTCGTCATCCCAGCAGAGACCATTCAACAGTCTCTTCAGACTTCGTAACTCACACTTCCTACAGATCCCCACAGGCTGGTAGGACGCAGCCCTCACTGTAACCCACACACTTCACGTACAAACTAGCAGGCGGGTAGCCCGAAGTCCTAAAATATTGACTGGTTTGACGAAAGACCGCGCAAGGTTGAATATGCGGCCACTTGCTCGTGTGCACATCAGTCGCCTGGTCACCGTTCCTCGGACCAAGACTATTCCACTCAGCACCCCGAAAACTTAAAAAAACTGTTGAAAATTTGATTAGGATATACTGACAAGCAAATACACTTGTGTGGAAAGTTTCATAATGATAGGACCATTCCTACATGGGTCGGGATGATAAAGGTTAAACTGGCAAGAGGAGTGTTTGTTCTGACCAATCCATGTGTCACTCTTGTCCATGCTCTAACCTTGTGATCATGATAGCCTATGGTGTCCTGGGAACTGGATTAGGCCTGGAAATAGGCCCTTGATTGGTATGTTTCTGTTCCAACAGCCGACATGAGGATGACATTGATTTCTAACACTTATTTTTCTGCAGGTATTCTTCGGACAGCCGACTACTCCGAACCTGTTCGTTGCAAAAATCTCACGCTTCACTATGCGAAGTATGGCGAACTCGAAAATTCCTCTGAAGCACTTGCAATGTGCCAATCAATGGGAATGGACTTGCCCACAATGCGCCGCTTTAATGGGGAATTAATTACCGGTGATTGCTTATACGACCTGATTGAAGATTGGCCTGATTATGTGATATCGCCCAGGCTCAGATTGGATATAGGGGTTTTCAGTTGGAATCTTGATCAAGGCCAAGAGTATCTCGGTGTATTCTTCCGGGGTGGAAAACAGCATAGAATTCCTAATGGAAAAACGCATCATCGGGTCGTTTGTGCTGGTATGTTGCTTCTTTATCTCATCATGCCTGTACTCCCTTGACTCGGTTGAGTTTGAAAATCTGATTTCGCTCAAAGTTGGCTCCTTTTATCACTAGATGGACCTCATTCACCCACTATGACAGTTTGGACCAGACACCCGGCCTGCGTTCTTTTCATTTTACGAAAATAAAAAGAAGTTGGTTGCTCCAACGAAATAAAAAGATCGACAAAAACACGAACTGAAGCACCTTCAACAAGGCTAACAAAGTACAAGAAGGAGGGGTCACTGTTCTTCGCAACAACACAGCACAGTCAAACCAACTATGTTCGCACACCAATCTAAGTTACTTAGTAATTTTTGGCAATCTAAATTTTGATTGGAGACCTGCTGAGTCTCTCGAACGAATCGATCAGTTCAGCCTGTCCAATGGCGGCCATTACGAAGGCCATCATCAAGGACCAGTAGCAACGAGGTTAGGTCCTCAACTTGGGGATAGCCCACCACCATGGTCTGCAACATGTCCCCAAGCGCCAATAACTGGTCTTGAATAGCGTTATCCACTAAAAATCCAGGGGAAGTGTGTGTTGCTCCCTGCATGAGAGCGAGCGGTTTTCCTGCTGACTTGAATTCACCCCTCATCAGCTGAGCTTCAGTAGGCTGAGGAAATTGTGTCTGAAGGGCACCACTTTAATACTACTCTCCAGGCACAAACATCACCAGGGATACAAACTTACAGAGATGCTCCGTTTCCAGCGCGACAAACACCTCGTGAACACCAGGTTGCAGTGTGAGTCAGTGTCGCTCACGGAGGTGCTGAACAAGCGCTGAGGACCGTTGGCCATTCACAAAGTCAAGTGAGAATTCAAGTCGGCAGGAAAAACGCGAGCTCCCATGTAGGGAGCAACACATACTTCCCCAACTATTGCGGTAGTCGCACCAACCTCTTTTTCACTAGAAATCAACTGGGGAAATATTCAAGTTTCGAACTCTCCAATGGCTATGCACTAGCTGAATCCCTCCTCGTGGCAGGAAAACACACGCAGAGCATCTCCATATACTTTTCGCTATGGTACCAGCACTAAGAAATTATGGGAAAAATACCTACCCGTGCAGAAACTCGAATGAAGTCGAAGCAACGTGAAACAACTTGTTTTGTAGTCAACTAGTCCATCACAATGTCATGCATGAGGAGTACTGTAGGAGTTTGGCTTTCGGCTTGTATAATTCGTTTTCGCAAAGCTTCCCCTTTCTTTACTTATCTTTGATATTTATGACCCACCCAAATTGGGTGGTTTGCTGCTTTGCTGCTTCGAATTGTAGTTAGACCGCTTTTTCAAATATCGTATTGGTCTCGTCATCGTCCAGTAACAATCCACATTCTTTGTTCCGTTGGGACTGTTGCTTTTGCTCGCTTTCTTTGCGCTTGCCTTCCCCTCTTTGGTCTTTCCATAACCTTGAACTTTCCAAGTTGGGAGGCTGTCGGTTAGCGCTACGAAGATGTGTTTAAGCTAGGTGTCAGGACGTCGAATGTCTCAGTACTCTGTCAGTTTTATGCCTAGTTATTGCACTTTCTGACTATATATAGTATCCAGTTACAGTGATGGAGAGTTACTCTTAACTCGTATCCATATGTCATTTTCCTTTCTACATATAATAATAATAATAATAAATAAATAAAAAAGACAAGTAGTACACAACAAAACACCTCCAGCAAATACTGGTTGCGGTGCGAGGAATGCACTGCCTCCCCGCGAGAAGCCTTGCTACCTGCGAGCTGCAGAACGATCCACACCCCACTGCCCCTCATCAAAGTTCTGGAACTTCTGGAGAGACCAGAATTCATCGGAGCAGAGAGAATAAGAAAAAGAGAAGACCACATACTTTTTTTCACAAAACAATCAGGGTTTAAATTAAGCATGAGTTCCATTAGACCACATTCAGCACTAGTTATTTGTTCAACGCCACGTCTGAACAACTGCTGAGAGACTTTTGCCTATTGCACAACTTCTGAAAGACCGTCATGTTTGGCATTCATATTATTATTATTATTATTATTATATGCACGTCCGCGTTTACGTCAACAGTAAGTCCACGTATTCGCATGTGCCAGAAGACAGGCAGAGCGGGCAGAGAGGAAAACAAAAATAAATAAAAGTAAAAAATAAATGTAAAACAGCAGGCGATTGGCACATAACTCATGTTCGATGATAGGTGCTCAATGCACGGGATCTATTCGAAAGATCAAAAAATAAAAAAACAGACAACGACGATAGGTTTGTAACTCATGGTCGATGGTAAGTGCTGAATGCACGGGATCTGTACAATGCCTCTGTCCCATCCGTTAGTTGCTGCGTACATCCTGGTACAGCTCGCACCACGCAGGCCTGTCAGCGGCGATGGCCCGCAGGTGCTCCAGGTCTGCCAAGTTCCTCAGACTCCTCAGTCCTGCTGATTCTAGGTCCGCAGATAGTGTGGACACGGTCGTTGTCCGTGGCCGCCCTCGCCACACCTTGTCCCCACAGGTGAAGTAACTCCGCATAGCGAGGGCGGCAGGCGTGTCTTGAGGGAGTCTGAGGATATGCCCAAACAGGCCCCATCTGGATCGCCGCATGAGGGCACTGATGGGCTCTGCGTGGCATCTGCCGTACAGGGCTTTGTTTGAAATCACCTGCGGCCAGCGGATACCCAGGAGACTCCGAAGTTGTCTTCGATGGAATGTGTCCAGACGCTCCCATGCTGAAGCCGTCATTCCTCACGTGCCTCCATTGTATCTTAGCACAGGGATGATAAACGCGTTGTAAAGCCTTAGCCGTAGACTTTCGCTGATGATCGATCGACTACACCATACTGTGAATAGTGCTCTGAAGGCTGCCATTGCTAATTGTTTCCTCCGTGCAACATCTTCCTCGTCGCCGAGGAGTGATCCGAGTTTTTTTGTTTTCCGCCATACTTCAGCCAGGCTGTCTCCTTTCCGGCGCAATGTTGTTTTTCTGTTTTGTCTTCGTTGACCTTTGGGTGCCAGTCTCCAAGGATGGCGATGATATACGGTTCGATGCTCTCCAGCCAGGGTCTGGATTGGCTGATGAAATCAGTGTCATCGGCATAAATCACTTCTGGTGGTAGAGCCATGTCGCGCATTGGCCTGGGCGGAATTGATGCTCTGATCTCCCTCAAGGCTGATTCCAGGTAGATCACAAATACTACAGGAGAGAGAGAGAGTCACCTTAGGGGTTCCGATGGTGGACTTGAAATCAGGTGAAACTTCCTTTCCAAGACGGACAGATATGGTTGTGTTTGACAGCAATATCCATACCAGTCGGATGTCATCCTCCGTGACGATTGCTCTCATGGTACTCAGCAGCTTCTCCCTTGAAACGGTGTCGAAAGCCTTCGACATATCTATTCCGTGAATCTCTATTACGCTCTGGTACTTCTGGGCAATTGCAGCCATCCACCAGTGTGCCCAGACAGCATCTGCCGTTGACCTTCCGGGTCTGAATCCACTGTGTGTAGGGCTAAGGTAATCATTCACTGCCGGTTGGATACGTCTGAGGGTCAATAATGATACAGCCTTCCTGACGGATTCCAGCAGAGTGATTGCGCGCATATTACGGGTCGGTCCCCTCTTCTTGTTGGGATTCTGCAGTGGGAATAGGGTGCCTGCTCCTAGATCTATAGGGCATTCATATAGCAAGAAATATTGCAAACTAAAGAAGATTGGCTTGATTGGCCATACCTTAGCAAAAGTAGCCGAACAATATATTCAACATAGCCTGCCCTCTGTGACCTCTGAGTGTTCTATGTAACTTCTTGTGCAGAGTATACATATTGCGATCCACCTGCACCACATGCCAGCTTTATTCAATTCTCGTACGTTGGTGGCGTCTTCAATAGAGGAACGATGGTCTGTAACCGGCAATACATACTAGACGGTACCCTGCCGATGAGATGCATGGGTGGAAACAAGTGGAGTTCTGAATGCAAAGGTGAGCTCAGTGTCTTTCTTCACAGAATTGTACTTTTTACCATAATTTTTCAAGCGGTAGTTTGGAGGCAGTTGGTGGACTGTAACGCATAACTTGTGCCCCACCATTTTCCTTGTTTCAATTTAGATATCAATATTTTGGTTTTCAATATTTTTACGTAAACATTATGCTTTTCCCAATCTATACCTTGGCATGCAAAGATGCAAATGCACACAACCAAGTAGACACTTCCTTGCATCTCTTCAGAATAGTACAGGGACTGTTGGACATTATGAAAAACACATAACTATAATAGAGTTTGCAGCAAAAGAAACAAGGAAAAATTTTGATATTGCCGTGTAAGCAGTTCTGTATATTCGTCAATTAGAACCAGAACTATCTGTACAGAAGGAGACTGTGTTATTATTGCAGGTGTTTGGTGCCACACCTCGTCAAAGTGTGACCAGGGTTCCTGGTGTGTTCAACGTTTTTGTCTACAACATGCAGCTTCCGTTTTTTAGTTTTCTTTAGCACTTTAATCATTATATTAGAATAAAATCACATCGAAACGAGTTATGAAGCAACTATTCACGACTGTAACAAGATAATAAGCAGCCGGAAAGTGCGATAACAGCGCACAAAACTGACATGTTACCAAAAGCCTTCCAGCATGGAAGGTTCAAGGTTATGGTGTGTGAGCGCTAGGTCTCGGGTCGTTGAATGTCACAGTGAGTCGTCGATAGTTGATTCTAGGGGTGAAAGGGGTGATCCGGGTAACCCGGGTACCCGTCTGTTTAGCTGCTGATTTGTTAGCAAATGAGTACCCGATAGTCGTGCAGGGTTGTAGGGTACAGCATTATAAGCTTGCTTGTACAGTTGTACAGTTCGGTGCATCCTGCTACATATCACAGTTCATCGTTCAATCCTGCTACATATCACAGTATCCATTGTAGCTACGACAATTTTCACTGTTTGCATGTAGCGCAGTGATTGTGCACGCTGTGATTGTCCCGGTGTAGTGTACTTGCATGACTTTGCATATTCTCCCGGCGTGAAGTTCGGAAGGCTTTGTAGTAACGGTCAGAATGCCTGTAAAGGAGATGACGGTTGCGCTTACGATCCCAAGCAAATGCAATGTTTTTGGAAAAAGTATGAAGGGTACTCGCTAACCCGCCCGTTAAGCCAGATACCCGTTTGTTATCTGAAAGGGTAACTGTTGCACCCCTAGAACTTGAGAACTCGTTTTCATGTCGTTTCTTCTATCTTAATTGTAGTTATTTTGCTCAGTAGCCTTTTGGATGTAGGTAGAAAAATCTGCTCAGGATAAATAAGCCAGAGCAGGCGCCATACGTAACAGCTCTTGTCCTGTGGAGAAATTCAAAGTGTGTGAGACTAGGCGCGACCAAGTTTCAACCTTCTTGAAACGTTCAGTCCGACAGAGTGTAGTTCTGGGAGGATATTCTAGACTTCAGGCAATCATCTTGTGCAATAATTCTCTTTTTTTGTAGCTTCCAATGTTATCTGTAACTATTTACACATCAGTACTTAGATGGTGAGGCAAGGAAAATATTAAATGTGGAAACAAGGGAAATTGTGGGGCACAAGTTATGCGTTAGAGTTCACCAAATAAACCAGATTTTGACCAGTCAAATGCGCACAAGGCAGCGCCAGACTGACAAGGAGTATTGAGACATTCCCTGGCAAAAAAGTAATTATCACCGTAGTATCCATGAACCTTCCTAGTTGGAGCGCTATCGACTAGTGCTCAAGCTCACTTCCTTTTCCATGGAATGTCTCAGTACTCCCTGTCAGTCTGGCTTTACCTTCTGCCCGTTTGACTGTTCACAATCTGTCTAGTTGGTGAACTCTAGTGCATTTGACTTCAACTTCTGCACCAACTTTTTCCTTGGTTTCAATAAATTGTAATCATTTACAAGTCGAAAGGAAAAGGACATATGTAAACGAGTTAAGAGTAACTCTCCACCACTGTAACTGGATACTATATACAGTCAGAAAGTGCAACAACTAGGCACAAAACTGACTGAGTACTGACTGTAGATAGTATCTAGTTACAATACCCGAGTTTCATTTACAAGTCACTAGGCAAACTGCTACAATTACGGCGACGCGGAGGAAGTAGTGTACAGGAAGCTTGAACATTATTGCGCTGTCAATCTAATAATAATGCTCCCTGAAGGAAAGATGTATTTCCGCTATTGAATCCTGATGAGACTTTTCTTAATTTCCCTTTGTCTCCTTGCAGTTGTTGTGAAATGCAATGCTTCAGCACCAGTTTCTGGCAGCGTGAACGTTACCTCCATCCACATTGGTGAAAGTGTGCAGTATCAATGCAATACTGGATATGACCTGGTGGGCCCAGCAACCGCTCACTGCACTCCTCAAGGATCGCTAACTGAAATGCCTATTTGTCGAGGTTGGTCACACATATTCTATGTTACAGCATGGCTTAGGACACATTGACTACTGTAAAGTATGAACGCCTTTGCTAGAGATTACCTCTTTTACCATTGCACGGGAATAGTGCTGCCACCTATCCACCACCGACCGGCAAAACTGGATCATTTTACTGAAAACACAAGACGCCCAAAATGATCGTAGCTCTGGCATCCATTCTCCAATTTACTCGATCTAGACCTTCCTAGAAAGCTGCAGTGACAAAAAAAAAATACTATGAACTGATGCACAAGTCTCCACAAGGCCAAAGTCCAACTATAGAGCTAAGCGAATGGATTCCAAAGTCCTGGCGCAGTTGTGCAAGTCAAAGATACTGAGCTGTCATCCACTACTTCACTCTCCTTGCTCGTATCCAGCTCAATTTTCCGAGGAACACTCTCGTGAGTCCATTGCTCGATTTGAACTGTGGTTGCCATGCCAATGAGTTGCGGAAGTGTAGAAAAATAGAAAACATGTGCCCCGATTGGGGGAAAAAATTGGAAAAAAGGTCGCGGCCGTGTGAAGCTGTGTAGCCGATGAGCGTCATAACCCTGGCGATTCTTTCTTCTAACAGTTATTTCGCTGGCGATTGTGTGAAGGGAAAGTTCAGAGGTTTATTTTCCTCCTACATACTTTGACTGTGAGAATTAAGTAAGAATTAGTGGATTTAGGATTGTTTCAACATGTCCACCTCCTGACTGCTGTTGATTCTCAGCTGTGTGCCGCATTTCTATGCAGTGGGTGAGTGACAGAACACATACTCAATCATGATCATTGCTTATTCTCCTGCTTAAGCAGCGCATACACTCACAAGCGCAACACACAGACACACACACCTTTCCTGTAGAGCCACTACCACTATCCAGGCATCTTACTGAACAGGAAATGCCATGTCCGAAAAGATGCGTTTACACAGTTTTGCACCTAGTGCTAAACTAGTGTAATTATCACTAGCATCCATGAACCTTCCTAGTTGGAGCGCTATCGTCTAGTGCTCAAGCTCACTTCCTTTTCCGTTGAATGTCTCAGTACTCCCTGTCAGTCTGGCTTTACCTTGTGTCTGTTTGACTGTTCACAATCTGGCCAGTTGGCGAACTCTAATGCATTTGACTTCAACTTCTACAAATAATCTACGTGGAGATAAAAGTTTAATAATAGCTATGAAAAGCATGAATGCCGCAGACATCACCACGCAACATGACAATTTGTTCAAGGTTTGGTTTTGTGTGTTTCCAAAATCGATTTCACGCTCCGATCATCAGTGGAAATACGGAACTAAAGAGATCAAGGGAAAAACAAAGGTTAAAAATCCGAAGAAAAAATCCAAAGAAGTGTGACACATTGTTTTTCCCTTGATCTCTTTAGTTCCGTATTTCCACTGATGAGCGGAGCGTGAAAATCGATTTTGGAAACACACAAAACCAAACCTTGAACAAATTATCATGTTGCGTGGTGATGTCTGCGGCATTCATACTTTTCATAGCTATTATGAAACTTCAACTTCTGCACCAACTTTTTCCTTTGTTTCAATTAATTTTAATCATTTACAAGTCGCCAGGAAAACTGCTACAATTCCGATGCTGCGGCGGAAGCAGTGTACAGGAAGCTTGAACATTATTGTGTTGTCAATCTACGAATAATGCTCCCTGAAGGAAAGATGTATTCCGCCATTGAATCCTGATGAGACTTTCCTAAATTTCCCTTTGTCTTCTTGCAGTTGTTGTGAAATGCAATGTTTTAGCACCAGTTTCTGGCAGCGTGAACGTTACCTCCATCCACATTGGTGAGAGTGTGCAGTATCAATGCAATACTGGATATGAACTGGTGGGCCCAGCAACCGCTCACTGCACTCCTCAAGGATCGCTAACTGAAATCCCTATTTGTCTAGGTTGGTCACACATATTTTATGTTACAGCATGGCTTAGGATACATTGTCTAATGTAAAGTATGAAAGCCTTTGCTAGAGATTATCTCTTTTACCATTACACGGGAATAGTGCTGCCACCTGTCCACTACCGAACAGCGAAAATGGATCATTTGACTGAAAACACACGACACCCAAATTGTTCGTAGCTCTGGCATCCATTCTCCAATTTACTCGATCTAGACATTCCTGGAAAGCTTCAGCAACAAAATAAAATACTATGAACTGATGCACAAGTCTCCACAAGGCCAAAGAGAACACATACTCAATCATGATCATTGCTTATTCTCCTGCTGAAGCAGCGCATACACTCACAAGCACAAGCACAACACACAGACACACACACCTGTCCTGTCCTGTAGAGCCACTACCACTAGGGTCACGTGTGCTCCGGAGGGGCAGCAGAGAGAGAGAGAGAGAGAGAGAAAGAGCACGCCACCCGATGGCGCTCCAGATGCGAGACTAGTCGGAACCGGCGAGCAGATACACATATGCGGGAAATGGTCCCGTTCTCTGGCCATTGCTCGGTGGCAGTGCGTTGAACAGCGATGGCGGTTGCGTCCCTGGGTTGAACGGAAACAACAATTGCAGGTGTCATAGTGAGCATTGCAGCAACTCCAAGTGGTAGTGTCACCGGTGATAAAAGCAGCTGGTTCGGTCGGTACTGGGCACGAGGTAGAAGTGGAGCGAAGATGCACAGCCAAGCCTCGGCGGTTCCGGAACCAACGATGACAATGAGGGCACTGAAACGCACCTCTCTGCTCCGAAACCGGCTGCTGCCGTTCAGCCGTGCACTTGTGCCTAGCGAGGTCGCCTTGACGTGCGAAGTGCCGGGCGCGTGTGAAACAAGTCACCGGTGCCGGTACGAGGGAGAGTCACAGGCCACTCTGTACCAGTCCGCTTCAAGGTCTCGGGAGCGGAGGTCCTTTACAGCGCAGTCACTCACACACACACACACACACACACACACACACACACACACACACACACACACACACACACACACACATACACACACACACCTGTCCTGTCCTGTTGAGCCACTGCCACAAGGGTCACTTGGATCCGGAGGGGCAACGGAGAAAGAAGAGGAGAGCGCCGTCCCACGGTGTCCCGGACACAAACGAGAGGCCGCCAAGATTCAGATTTATCTTTTCCTTTTCGGCTTTTTCTCCTTTTTGTCTTTTTTTTTCTTTCCTTTTTTTCTCTTCTTTCTTTGCTGATGGCTTTCTGTTCCCATATATTCTTTTCATCTGTGCCTGCTTCCGAGTTTCCCATTCCTGGGTTACTTGGACCTCATTGTCATTGGACATGTTCCGTCCGGTTTGCGAATTCAAATAGATACAACCAACCAACCAGGTCACCTACGACTGGCAACACGAGACTGACATATGGGAGAAACGAGCCGAGTTTCTGGCGAGCGAACTAACGAGTACCCGGTGAGATCGTTTCAACACCACCAAAAAATGTACCCTGTATTCCAAAGGACGAATATAATCATCCTGACAGTGCTTACATTTGTACAGTGCATATGTTGTAACTCGCTTTCTCTTCCTGCTCCCAGTTCCGTGCCATCTCTACACTTGTACAAAGGGTCAACGATAACTACATTTAGAAGACTATATTTGTGACAAGACGACGGAACCACAACTATACATGACGAAGTCAAGACGAAGACATCATGAACACAAGACGAAGACAGCTTTTCATACCACAGCAACACGCGCATGCACCAACATGACGTACACCCGACGTACACAAAATAACGTACTACAACATAACTCCCTCCCAAGAGTAGAATCGTCCTCGATTCTAATAATAAAACAGAGTAAAAAAGAGGAAAAGATCACACAAATCACTCAATCATACCACACCAGTCCCCCCATAAATAAAATACCTCTGCCTGCACTGCAGATTACAAAAACTCAGTCCGCCCACCCAGAACACCAGCCACGATCGCTGTCACACGTGTAGGAACTGATAACCTCAAAAACTCTAAACTACTTCACTCAACACACCACCTCACGATCACGCAAAAATTCTAAAATGTGAGAGCACAAATCATAGGAATAACAAAAAGAACAAAATCCACTGGCTCTGTGGGGGCCTCTAGTTATCCTCATAGAAGAGCAAATCAAAAAACGAACAGAACACACGCGCTGTGCGGGCGCCTCTTTACCCGCGAGGAGAGCAAATAATAAAGAACAAAATGTTGGGAGAACAGAAAATACACAACTCACATACTCATCACATTCACAACAACACACGTACCCTCTCACCAACGAAACTCCTCACGCCGTCTGCCATGTCGTCCGCCATCTCAAAGCGCTGCTCAGCGTCCACATCCTCACACTGCAGCCTTCACCTTCCATCCTTCTTTTTTTTTCTGTTTCAGTTTTTCTTCTGGGCACAGTTTTACGTCGTGTCCGGGACCACCAGTGACGACGACTGACAAGAGACGGGAGAGACGAATGATGAAGGACGAGGACGACGGACGAACTTCTTCAAGACGGACAAAACTGTGACGATAGGACGACTGGAGATGACATCGGAAACTGGGAGCGAAGGCCACGCAGGACGAATCCAGAAGTTGAGATTTACAAATTTCCATTACCGCTGCCACCAATGTTGTAACTCGCTTTCCTCTGCCTGCTCCCAGTCCCGTGCCATCTCCACACTTATACAAATGAACGACGATAACTACATTTAGGAAGACTGTTTATTACGAGACGACGACGGAAACACATCTAGACATGACGAACTCAAGACGAAGACACACTGAACTCAAGACGAAGACAGCTTTTCATACCACAGCAACACGCGCATGCACCAACATGACGTACACCCGACGTACACAAAATAACGTACTACAACACATACATACCAGTTTTCAAGTTATCATAACTCTGGCGTAATTTCTCCGTTCATCGCAAATAATAGGAGCGCCGAAGAGAAAAAAACAAAACTACGCTTGAACTTTTTGACAAGTTGCATTCGCTGTGGGTTATCTGCATTTATCCGTATCTCACAAACAGGGACTTTCCCTATTAGTCATCGTTGCACGGCGCATGAAAAGGAGAGCCCGGAGGATTCGGTTGAACTTCCCGAATTTGGAGAACTTTTAATTGCTGTTCTGCGTTGAGTAAAACTTCAGCACCAAAGAACATTGTCGATGTGGGCACTGTTTCTCACTCAGGCGGAATAGGGTAGCACTCAAATGGCATGAAGACGATTCTATTGCTCCTGCTGAACATCTAGTTGAATGATTGGGAGAGAGGAGATTTGTAGCTTGCTGATGAGAGCAAGATGTAGAAATTCTGCCACTGGTGAGTAAAATTACAAAACGTTGCAGCTACGCACTTGGGCTGAGGCATGCGTCAGAGTGTGCCCTGGCGAGAATACATGGAATCAGTAGTGGCCCTGAAAGAGAGCAAATCTGAGAAAACTAGAACAATTGTGCAAGTATCTCTCCAATTTCGCTCAAATTTTTCAGGTAGATTTCCTTTGGGGTGTAGATCGGCTGTGCAAAGACCACGGAAAGGTTTCGGAAGCGAAATTTTCCACTTGACCATGCGGGAATATGTCCAAACTCATACCTGCGCAGGAAAGCTCATCCCTCTGCGACTTCTAGTCAGCAATTTCTACTCCAACACAACTACAAACTTCCCCTTGTGCCATCAGCATTTTTTGGTGCAACAGTTGATGCAAACGTGACGGGAAGTTTTGCGTACAGTTGCAATGTTGGCAATTTTAGCTGGTTGGAAGTCAATATGTTGTGCATTGTGTGAGCGACTCTTCACCAGTCAAAGCGCACTTTGTTGGCACAAATACAGGGAGGAACAACTGAAGCCGATCTATGAAAAGCCCGGTGCTGTGTTGTGTGAAACTTGCCATCGTTGGTTTTCTCGCCGAGGTGGACTTGCCGTGCACAGCTGCTCTCCCAGCCTTGGTGAGCCTCAATGACTTGGTAATAGTCGGTGTTCGGGCAGCTTCGAGCTACATCAGCAACGAATTTCCAAGTGAGAGGCGCTGCTCGCTGCGGAGCTTGAGTGCAGCTCGGACGTGGCACACAGTGCAGAAATGTGACAGGTAATGCGACCACAGCTGGGTTTACGGCTGGGACAGCTCAGTCTGCAACGTTGCGGAGAGGTCATGGGAGAGGGCTGGGTGGTGGCAGTGCATTGAGGAAGAACTTAGCTGAGGACAATTTGGTATGGAGCACCATAGATACACCTCAGCATACCCAGTGCAGTTGCACGGACCAGTATTGTGATTGTAGCAGGAAGTATGCTAACCCCACTATTCTTCTTTGGCTTCTTGTGGAATTTTGCGTGGACGATTCTCGTGAAGGAAACGAATCAGTAGGCCGCGCGAAAATGAGCACAATAACTATGTACCAGTTAATGACGCAGATATGCACGCGTTCACTGCCATCATCATCAGAATGGGCATTGCTAGGCTGCCGGCTTCTCGAGACCATTTGTCCAACAAACATGACTTTTATGCGGGACGATTTCGTTAGCTGAACCATAGCACGTAGACGCTTCTTCAATATTTTACGATTTCTTCATGTCTCAAACAACGCCATTCACATTGCCTGTTGGCGATTGGCAACAGTATGCAATTTCGTGGAGCTGCTCAAGACGTAATTCCATACAGCATGGACACTCTTGCGCAATGGCTGTATTGACCAATCACTCGTCCCATGTAAGGTCGCACACAACTGAAAAAGTACGGCAAAAACATGACCCGTAAGTGGGGAATTAAGGTACGGGTCCTTGCATGCAGCCACACAGGCTGCACGTGGCGGTTATCTCTCTATGCTGGCAAAGAGCAAGATCGCCGTGCTGCCTCCAGGTGGGTTAGCCTATTCTGTTGTTGTGGAACTGATGACTGGACGCGTCAACCGGAATCATTGTGTGTTCATTGATCATGAAGTGTGAGAATGCAGCAGCACGCGGTTATGCTTAACATGTGTAGTGTTAACTTATGCAACGGTAGCGGTAGATGAATGTGGCAGCTGTGAGTGCGTGTGGGCAAACTGGTGAGTGCGTATTATTTGATAAGTGTGAGTGCTACAACATTTCTTGTTGCTTGCATAGCACAGGGTCACGTGTACGAATACAAACAGCCTCCAACACCTGCAACTGCTTAAAGAAACGTGCGCAACAAGTAACACTAAACCAGGAATCGCCAAACAACTTACGACAATCCGGACTGGACACCAACTTCTTGAAAATGGCACACTTCCTCTTGTCGATATCGAACTCCTCCTAGTCAGTATCCCTCTCGTCCTCCACATTCTCATCCTCCTCATTGGCCACGTGCACTGTACATGATGTCATCTGCGACGTCTGGTTTTCGGGTACAATTCTATACCCGGCTACCCGAAGTCCTCACAAGTAGCACGGGTACCCGACTACCCGTGCACACCCCTAATTCATTCATGCTTGTTTTTTTTGCTCCTTACTGGCTTGAAAAATGTGGATGCGATATATCGTCAATATCCCAGGTTGAATATAGATTGTCTGGTGCAAGATAAGCCTGCTTTCTGTAGTTTTCTAACCGGTAACCTTGGTTTATACCGCGGAATTGTCCTGTGGGAAATTTGATTGCCATATGCGGAAGAAAGTAATGTGTGCTATGTGTAGTGGCTTAAGTTTAGGGCTCACAGTTGCGTACATTCAACATCAGCGCCATTTTGTTCCACGAGGTGCTAGCGTGATCAGTGAAAACCGTGTTTCAGCCAATCACCGGGCTTGGAATTTTGAATATTTTTGAATCTTCTATCGATTCGTTCTAAAGATCGACTTGCCGGAGAGCCGTGAAATTTTCAGGGAGGATTCCTTGGCGGAAGGACTACAGGATTACCGAAGGATTTTTTCAAATCCGTCCTCTGAGACCCACGAACGGGATTTTGTGGATTTTCGTCCCTCGATGGGACAAACATCTGTGGGAATCGATGACACAAGCTCGGTGAAAACCAAAAATATGGCTCGGTAATCCTCTGGCCAGGTCCCTCAAGAAAATTTTGAGCCATAGATCGTCAAAATCGGAGCAACCATTGTGCAGTTCTTACTTTTTGAAGCGCGCAAGGTCAAGAACAAGACCGTGCACAAGCTGACATGACAGAAAACGGCAACTCAAGAAAAAAAAATGATGATGCGCAACCTTGTCACGCATACCACCACAGATTTCCTGTACCTTGCGTGAGGAAAACATCGCTTTGCATTCCAGAAAAGCTCACTTACCTAAAATACGTGTTGGTCACCTCGCAAGGCGATCAGCGCCGTGTTCGAGTGATTTGTTTTGTGCGCTCATGTTGTTCTTCATGGAATCAGCTCTGCAAACGTTCCCGGAAACGACCTGGCAACTACTTTCTGATCGTGGATGGACGGCTTGTTTGTGGCCTGTTTGCCTAGGGTCGTGAGAAGCGCCGCAGATCTTTGCTTAAACTACAAAGATTACGCGACGGCGTGCACAACTCTTCCCTCACCTGCCGTTTCGTTCACTGCGCAGTGGAACGAACTCCTTTCCTTAGGGCCTTCCAAATCCATGGTCAGGTGTGGGTAGAGCCGAGTGTGAGCTGGTTATTGTGGAGTATCGTCGTGGCAGACTAGTACTCTTCATCAATTTCTTCCCGGGCATTAGTGACCCGAAGCGATTGTAGGCTTGCGATATTTTTGGGTAGTTCGTCCCTCACTTCACCTTAGCCACAGCTCAGTACCAAGGGTAAGTCACGGAGAACTACCATTGTAATATTCGATGTCCATCTCCCGAACTACAGAAAAGATCAAGGCCTCCAAAGCTTCTTCATATGCCATCTTCTAGCTACTTGTCGGAAATTTTGTTTGCCGACAGAGCAAGAAAACAGCAGCTCAATCATGCTGCAGCCTGCACGTAGATCAGAGACTACACGCCAGCACAGAACTGCATACAGCTCCGCACGCGAAAGGATCACGTGAACTTGAGTGCCCCAAATCAAAATGGCGCTGATGTCCACTGGCTATCAGCATACGTACTGTGAGCCCTAAAGTTATACAATTACACAAGATGCTCTAACAATTTTATCAACAATTATTAACAATTACCACAATATCAAATGCTGCAGAGACCTATCCAGAGTCGGCAATATGCTGGCCCTGGCCTAGAGATCTGCAACTACAATCAGTTTCTACTTTGCAATACAGTCTGTATCGGCTATAGAGTGACCGGATATAAGAATATATCGGCTACAGTGATATTGGTACGAAATATCAAAAGCAAAACGTATTTTATCCAGTACAAATATCACTATAACCAATATTATCGGATGTAATGATATATCGGATATTATGATGGCAACAAAGAATCAAAACATGCATAACACACTGTATTATTATCGGCTATAGTGATAACTTTAAAATACATGTAGCAATAATATCAAAGGCCCTATTTTTTTACTTTCTTCACGTTGCTTATTTTGATAGTGACACATGTACATGTACATAACAGAATTTTTTCATGGAAATGCGGGCACTGTCAACTATGCAGCATGCTCATTTTGTCAAAACGCCATGCTGGAAGTATTTCCTTGCCTTTCATGTGTCGATCGAAAAAATCGATCGTATCGCATATAGTGATGCATCGGTTATAGTGATAAAATCACGGAAATCAAAAGGGTACGCTATAGCCGATACAGACTGTAATAGCGAGTACAATTACACTAGTTTTCTCGCACTTGCATCTTTGTGTCATTAATGCTATGTGTATAGGTCACGCATTTTCGCTGTTTACTTTAGCTATCTTCTTTTTTGCGCTGTTTTACCACCTCCTTACTTCACTGAATCCACTGTTCCTGTTCTTTTTCCCTTGCCTGTATTTCACCTGATGAGAAGGCTTGAAAGTATACTTGGGAAAACAAAAACGTTCAGATGTTCATAATGAGCCTGAAGTGTGTCATTTTTATGAGGATTATCGCATTTTTGTCTCAGAGGAAATTGTTATAATTCTTATAATTTTATCAACAATTATGATATCGCCAATATGCTGGCCCTGGCCAGGAGATCTGCAAGTACAATCATTTTCTACTTTGCAATAATAATGGATTAGTCTCCTTTGTTGATTGATGGATCAATCGGATTTGTAACTCTGATTAGTAACTTCGGCTCTGCTTTTCTTTTTTTCATGTGCTGAACTATTTTTAACTCATTGGATTTCTTTGTATTCTGTATCTCGTTATCGTTATCTTTTCCTCTAGCCCTCTCGCTTCGGATGAGCTTTTTTATGGCAGCTTTTTTAAGCGAAGGCTATATACCTGCCTTATGCAGGTTGATGCCCCCAAGAACAAGCAAAATAATAATAATATAAGGGCAACATTCCTTCTTCATATACACTTGGAGCAGTGCTCATGGTAATTCTTGGTGTTTTAGCTGTGGAAATAGAATTACATTCCATAGACTAAATAAGTATCCAAATTTGCATGATTATCCAATATATGTGTCGGTCTTAAAGGGCTAAACCCGTTTATTGCTGATCACGTTCTTGAAGAGACTTGTTCTGATTGTTTTGTACCATTTTCCTGCACTTGGTTTGCATTTATGCAGGTTGGCAGCGCTGTGATAATGTGACTGATTTGGATTATTTGGTATTTCCATCTCCGACGACCAAATCTCAAGCATCTCAGCAATGCCAGAGTTCCTCACAGGGAGCGGAAATCGCCTGGCCCCGGAATCAAGCTGAAAGTGATTGCCTGCAAAGGTTTTACCCATCGAATTCAATCTATTTGGGAATCTCTCGTGTAGATAACAAATGGCAATCTTCTTCTGGAGAAGTAACTTGGTCGAACTTTGCGCCACGTGAACCAAGCGGAAATGGTGGTTGTCTACAAATGTGGAATGTCCGTTATCCTGGCAAATGGGATGATTTGCAATGTGTGCACACATTACATTTTATTTGTCAAAGAGGTAAGGGACTTTTCCTGTTTTAACTGTCAGCGTTTTTTCTTACAAATTTTACCCCAGCACCTTTTCAGGCTGAGTCATTTTCTCTCCTTCTGTGGCACTTTGCTCAAAGTGCTTCCGTGGCAGTGCTAACCTGTCTATCAGCTGACTCATGATCAGGACAAGAGTGATGAAGTTTGCGGACAATTAGAACAGTTTATCAAAACAAATATATGTCAACAAAAGAGAAGAAACACATGAGAACGAGTTACGCAGCAGCTATTCACGACTGTAACAAGATGATAAACAGTCAGAAAGTGCGATAATAGGGCACAAAAATGACAGGCTACTGAGACATTCAGCGACCCGACACCTAGCTCTAACACATCTCCAATGCGCAAACCAACAGCCTTCCAACTTGGAAGGTTCATGGTTACGTAGGACCGAAGAGGGGAAGGTGAGCGCAGCGAAAATACAGTGGATGGGGGTCATTCCAAATGAGGTATATTATGAGCCCCAGCCAGCAGAAACCTGAACATGCGAAAAATTTTCAAAAATTATTTTTCCCTCGAAATTGTTTCTACACTATTTAAAATCATTCAAGTTATCAAGTTTGGTGACAATCTGATAAGCGAAAGCATGGAAAATAGAGTTTGAAGTCACACAGGTCAAGATTCGGTACAGTTGGCGCAGCATCCATGCCTAGTGACTCCATGCAAGTTGATCCTACAGTTTCTGATTGTGATGTGGAACAGGTACATGTAAGTAAATAGAATGCAAGTCAGGCTTGCCCTCTTGGTGCTGCAGGCATGAGTAGTTAAGAAGTGTGAAGATATTCCGTATACATCACTACCTTCTTTACAACACCAGAGTGCAAAACGATGATTGGTGGCTGGCCTTCCAAATTGTGTTCAGGGACCTCTGTGCTGGCAGTTTGAGCGTTGTCCCAAAGCTTGCCATACTGATAGATGTACTGACCAATACCACTGACATCCACTCCCTTGCACACTTTCACTCAGACCATGATTTCAGCATAATTGTATTTCAATGATATGAGCGAATACTCGCGTTTTGTAGCACGTGATGATGTTGCCCCAAAGCGTTCAGCCGGTTTGAGTTTTTAGGGATCCCCTTTCTCAGCACAGGCAGCAGCCAGCTTGGCGTCGTCTGGCGAGGTAGAGTACGGATAATACTACGCTCTGTTTTGCGCCGTGAGAAGCCCTCCATCAATGTCTGCAACATCATTGTTGTCGATGTAGAAATACGGATCGCTCAGCGGGTCGACATTCAGCTTCTCCTCGCAGTCGCTATTACTCCAGCACTGACCATCGTCGCCACCAGTATCCAGTGTCGGTTTTATGAGGGCTCTTCGTTACTATGCATATGAGACTCGCCACTGCTGGACAAACTCACCGAGATCGCCACCAAAGAAATAATTCCGATTGCGAACTAACTTTCAGCGCCGCTTCGTACAGCGAGTCTCACTCTGACAACTCTGGACCTAAGTCTTTGTCGCGACACCTGTCGCCATCGCTGTGTCTAAACTCAACCTCCGTATGACGAGCTCTCACCTAGTGCTAAAATCAATTGACCAGAGACATTTGAAGACACTTGAAACTCCTTTGACAGCAAAGACACCCACTCGATCGAAAAAGAATCTTCAAAAGCCAGCTCACTGCGCGTCCCAAACTTTGACGTCACATTTTGATGACTGATATCAAGTACACAAGTGCTGGTTTTCGCTGGCCAGGGCTCATATATTTATCACTCTCTTATTATTGACCCCCACAGAAACTTGTGATCTCTAAGCGGTCAAATATCAGCATATATTGACCGCTTATATTGACCACTTATTATTGACCACTTAGCCCGAGGACTTAGAACTTTTTCCTCAACTTAGAAAAAAATCAGAACTGAAAGAAGAAAAATCTGAAGCCAAATTCTGGGATTCGAACCCAAACTGTCAGATTCTCAGTCAAAGGACTTGGGGAACATACTGCAAGAGACAACTGAAAACTTCGGTTTACACAGAAGTAATGTCCAATGTAAACGGCATATGTACATACTATTATACTATTACAATAGTATTCCTTTCTTCCTATTATTATTTATTATACGCATTCCCGCGTTGAAGTGTAGCAGCAGTATGCTGCGTCCACAGCTTCGCTTATGCAGAATGGCTTGGGTGAGAGGAGAGGGGAGAGAAAGCAACAAGGCAACCAACATCTATGAAATTGGTCACAATAACATGAAGAGACCCAACCTACATACATGTACGCATGATTGCACAAGAATGGAGACGACCAAATATAATGGCTATAATCATTGTGCCACAAAACCGGTACACAGGAGATCTGACGACAATGTAACGAAACATAAAACTCAGTTACTCAATACAGGTTCCACTAAATTACAAGAGAACAACGCTACAACGTTAGAATTGCCGCTAAATTATCGCAAGTGTAGAGAACGAGTCCAATACAAATGAAAACCATGAACAGACTGTCCCGAAGTTATTTTGGGAACAAATTGTACTACATGACTGTACTTGCTGATACTGACGCTGACGGAACACGAATTTGAGTTGAATACTCACGAAGTCTTGTACATGCACATCATTATGCGCCGGTGTTGTGGAGTAAGCAGGTGCGTCAGTCACCAATCCAGCTTCAGCTCCACGCTCGCTTCAGCAGAATGTTGCCCGCGTTTGCTTTGCCTCCACACGGATAGACGACCAGCGCAGAGTCCCGCAGCTCCGTGGCCGTAAGGTCTTGATATTCGCCGTTAGCGCCGTCAAGTCTCAGTCCACCTCTCACACCAAGCCGCCCTATAAAAATCTTTCTCTCTCCATTCTCTCCATTGGAGTGCTCCCCAGTTGCGCGAGGAGACTAGAGAAATTCCTCCGGTGAGCGAGGAAGAAGAGCGGAGTTACCCAACTCAACCTAACTTTCTTCCTATAGCAAAGCAAAAACAGTTTTAGGTATGCTATGTCGTGATAAATCTATTATTGCCCTCATAATCGGTCAATATATGAAATTTAAACCTCGGGGGACCTCGGTCTTTTACTCGTTCTATATTTCATATATTGACCTCTTTAATCGTGCAATAATAGATACATACGTCATTTTCGGAAAAAGGGTTATCATAACTCTTATATTGAATCATAATAATAATAATGATAAAGAGAAAAGGACATATGGATACGAGTTAAGAGTAACTCTCCATCACTGTAACATGATACTATATACAGTCAGAAAGTGCAATAACTAGGCACAAAACTGACAGAGTACTGAGACATTCGACGTCCTGACACCTAACTTCAACACATCTCCGTAGCGCTAACCGACAGCCTTCCAACTTGGAAGGTTCAAGGTTATGGAAAGACCAAAGAGGGGAAGGCAAGCGCAACGAAAACGACCAAAAGCTATAGTCCCAACGGAATAAAGAATGTCGATTGTTACTGGACGATGACGAGACCAGTACGATATTTGACAAAGCAATTCGAAGTAAAAAAAAAAAGGTCTAACTACAATTCGAAGCAGCAAAGCAGCACACCACCCAACTTGGGTGGGTCATAAATATCAAGGATAAGTAACGAAAGGGAAGCTTTGCGAAAACGAATTGTACAAGCCGAAAGCCAAACTCCTACAGTACTCCTCATGCATGACATTGTAGTTAGACCGCTTTGTCAAATATACATATACCCAATGCTGTAGACAGCAATCTTTTTCGGCCATAAAGGCCTCATCAGTACAGCTACGAGCTAAATAGGCCATATACATACATCACGGCATAAATAACCATTTTCTAGGTTTAAATTTTGTGTGTAGTCGTTCCTGGCCTGTTGGTATAGCCTGGTGTGGATGAAATATCAGTTAGCCCTGGAGTTAGGCCATATATAGCCTGGAGTTAGGCCATATATAGTCCCTGCAGTTAGGCCATATATAATCCCTGGAGTTAGGCCATATATATGTTGGACTCAGTAGAGCGTCCAGCCCTTATATGATGTCCAACCCCTATATAGAGTCCATTGGTCCAAAATCCACTGTACAGAGTCCAAACTTGGAATCAACTGTGAGCTCAAAGTTTAGATGGACATCACTCCCTGTATAGAGTCCAGCCAATTGGCTTCACCCCTATATAGAGTCCATTTGTCCAAAATCAACTGTATGGAGTCCAAACTTTGAAATCAACTACATGTATAAGGAGTCTTTATGTGGACAACACTCCCTGTATAAAGTCCAGCCAACTAGGCATCCCCTATCCAGAGTTCGAAATTAGACATAGGATCTGCTGTAAGCAGTGAATATTAACCAGAAAACGCCTCTCCCTTTAATCCTTTACATCATTCACTTCTCAAGATAAAAAATAAGTATTGAGGCGCCACTGCAGCCACTTCATTACACGAAAACCCTACAAACACCATCCTCAAATCAAGTGGTCTCTTCGCAGACGCTGCAAATTACAATATCTCAATCATGTAGTGTTGCCAAATATTGTGCACGCACACACACACACACACATGCACACACCCACACACCGCCAAGAAAATACCTAGAAACAACCAAGAATCGAAAGAGAATAATGGAGAGCCAAGGATTAATTATTTGTTTTCAAATTATTGTGCGCGCGCGCACACACACACACACACACACACACACACACACACACACACACACACACACAAACTTATACAACGCCAAGAAAACACCAAGAAAAGAGTAGAGACACAATACACACGCAACTCCAACAGCCATGCAAACGTCCACCCATTGACACGTAAAGTCAAGAGGGATAACAAATAATTATACGAAACGAATGCATACATGGACAGGTGCACGCACCTATTAGTGTAAGAGAGTAACA